TATCATTTTGCTTAATAATGCAAACAAACATAAATAATGTCTGAAGTATTGTAATTGGGCTTAAAATATCATCTTCGCAACCCAGAAAAATATTGCGGTTTTCGGGGTTGGTTAGGTTTTGTTTGTTTGTTTGTTCTTTCTTGTAGTTTTTGTAATGTCTTGTCTCTTTTTTTGTCTTTGTTTATCTTTTTTTTTGTTTTGTTAATTGTAGGTTAATTCGTACATAATTTTGACTATCAATTAACTTGCTTTAGAACACACAGGGATAGATAAAGAAAATACTTTAGAAACCTATTCTAAAAACAGACAAAAAGGAACGGTTTGTTTCCATATAACAAAGATAATCATACGTCAGATTCTGTATTGTAACCCGTCTATAATAACGGATATATTGTTTTATATTTATTTTAATTGTATACAATCTGTATACAGACTCTTGGGATCGGGCAGTGAATGAAACAGTTACTATAAATAATTATTTCTTAGGAAATGAAACAAAGGGCCGTTTGTTAAAAATTTGATATTTTGATTTTATTCGTTTTTTAACGACTATTGCGCATAAGATTGTGATAAATACATATCGTTTATAGACCCACGTCCTGTTTTTTGTGATGCAAGAAAAATCCGAGCCTTCTAGTTACAAAGCATTTTGACTAACCAAACTAATTCTGTTTTATAAGTGTGACCGTACTGGTAAAATTGGCACAATTCTAAATTGTAGGATACATTTTAAGATGGTTGAGAATGCTACCCGTGAATGCGCTTTCAGGAAGGACATGATTACTTTTCGTCAATGAACTGCCTTTTCCTTGGACAATTGCCCACCGATTGGCTGAATACCTAGCTTTCTGCGATGACGTCATGCTTGGTTTCTGACTAATCATAATATAGTACACTCGTACTTTTTCTATCATAGTACAAAAGAATATCATACTTTGGTCAGGCTTCTTTTCCAAAGAGATTAAAGTTCACTAGAATCGAACAGATTCAACAACTTAACACCACTTTCTGTTAACGTATAGATATTTAGTGTATTATCGAAGATGAAATGACCTTTTTAGTGACCCAATGAAGCCCTCAAGTCGAGCAAATATTGTATATTCTTTAACAAGGTGTTTCATGCAAAATATCGACTGGTCTCACACACGGAGTCTTAATTTAATATGTATTATATTTCAGCTGTAAATGAAGGAAGCAATCTACAAGGTTACACGGCATGGAGTTTATTGGACAATTTCGAATGGACATATGGTTATACTATAAAGTTCGGACTGTTTCAGGTTAATTTCACAGATCCAGCAAGAACCCGAACACCGCGAAAATCTGTTGCATTATTCCAGAAACTCATCGCAGACAATGGTTTCGTGAAAAACTGAAATTAGATTTAATAAAGTTATAAATAAAAAAAAAATCAGTTTAATTATTTGTGGCGACCATGATCTTTTTCACAATTTGGGACAAACGGTCAAATTTATAGTAAAAATGAAATAATTTTAAAAAATAATCATGGAATGTCCAGAGGATGTGGTTAGAAACGGGGTAAATATCATCAGCTTATTTACAATTGCCATTTTAAAGGCCGAATACCCTATGGTATTTTTACTTCCATTATATACACATGTTATATCTTATACATCACTAGAACGGCAATCGATTAGGCTTTTCGGAACTGTATAATTCATTTTCTTCGGCATTTACAGAGAAATGTCCTAACAATAAAAATGTCTGGTTCCAACATAAATTACCTTTTCGTACCAGTCTACCTGTAAATCGACACAAAGGTTGGGGGTGTAAGTAGGTAAGTAATGAGAAACACTATTGTAGTAAGTACATCAACAATCGTCTTAACTATTTGTTTCGGGAATTCAGACGTTTGTTGCCAACCTGGAGGTCCCGCTTGTCAGTGATGAAAGACAGGGGGCCTGGCAAGGGACAACGTATAGTCGTTCGGATGGACGGAAAAGTCGATGTCCCGTGTACATATTGGCGTGCACGTAAAAGAAATTGAAATTCGATATAAAATTACCCCGTATCGCTGTTGTCCGGGCAAAATTTCCACAAAGTGCACTGGATGGCGTATACCCGTGTTCATTAGCCCAGTCCGAGCAGAACAGTAGAGTGTTAAACGCCATTTCATTCCGTTTCTGGAATTTAAACATTTAGTATAACTTACACATTAACAAGTAGGCCAGTAGGGGAATTGCATGAGACAAAGCAAATTTTAATGAATCCAAAATAAGCTGTTGAATTACATAGATCTGGTGTGTAATGTGATGTTCTATATGAATACATTCCACAGTAGTAAGTTTATTAAAGATGCATTATGTAAGAATTGGAAAAAGAGCTGGTCGTTTTTGCTATAATAGTTCAAAAATAGATAATGATAATTGAATATATTCAAATTTTCCATCAAATTACTATATTATGTGTAAAGTTATGAGTTTATGAAGCTTTGATAGATTCTTTATTATCGTAGCAAAGTTATTTGACATTCGTTAAACTCTTAATTGGCCGCGGTGTTCTAATCTCCTTAAAACCGGGGCCATCCGATGATCCAGAGAGTTGATTATGGGCTTGTCGTGTTAATAAATGTTATAATAATAATTTATATAACATGAGAAGCCTGAAAATAAAACTGAAATAGACAAAGTTAGCTCTTACATAATGCATCTTTAATATGTCTTTCACATAACTGTCAAATGTTGAAAACATAATCAACAATTGACTTGTTATTTCTTTTAGTAAATGAAAATACAATTCCAATCTGTGTTAATAAATCAGTCAATCAAACTATTCTCTTTTTTTACCCAAATCAAAGAGGTCGTGTTTATTTTGCTAATGTTAGTGCAAACATGGGATTTTTTAAATAGCGATTATTTACGGAAAATCATCAAAGAAACAAACGGATGAAAAGTAGGCAACGAACGAAGGTACATGTAAAACTCTAATACCCCTTACTGCGACACCTACGGCGACGGAAAATGGACTCAGAGCTTGTCAAGATCGTCATAAGCATGGAAACGCTGTGGTCACCATGGTCGCCAATGATCGCCGAGTTACGGCGTTTGTTTTGAGCATGTTCAAAACAAATGCCAAGGTTCTGCGATCTGGCCTGGAAAGCTGTAAGAATGCGACTTTTTTCAAGTTTGTAATTTTTTGGGACATTTTCTCGCGTTGTGTTCACGTTTTACGGCGACCTTGTGCATTTTCTGGTCGGTGTATGGTAACAGCAGCGCAGTAAGGACGCCACCCCGATCCAACGGGGAAATTAGCTATGTGGACTTCCCAAAGTCGTATTCTAGAAAGAGTACTAACTAACAGTCAACTCATTCGTCATAAGGATATGCTAGAGGGATGATAATTAGATATGTTATGTAAGGCTATAATTAGTCTCAACTAATAAATTTGACCCAGATATATCTGATAGATAATTAATTATACAGATGTCTTTAGGACAAACACCACTAATGTAAAATCGACGACTTGTTTTTGCAAGTTTTTTTTATGATTTTAGCAAAGCGCAAAGATTTTGTACAAAATTATTCGTGTTCGACGTGGAATGAAAGCAAAAGGGGTGTTTGGGTGGGGTGGAGTTTGTTACAGTTATATTCTAGATACATGTACTTTCGACTTTCTTGCGTTTTAGCTATATTCTACATGTAGACATCTACTAGGCATTACAAAACATAGCAGGAATTTTTGGGTGGTTTGCGAGAAATACTCGTTTTTCTTCTCTATTGCTATGTTTGTAAGCACATTTAAGTGTTTGTTTGATAGTGTCCAAATGCAAATTCCCGGTGTTTTGAGTTCTTTCTTTTGGTTGGGGGGCGGGGGGGGGGGGGTAAAGATTATATTTAATATTATTAGAGACAGTAAAACGGACATGAAAATATTTAATATATATTAGTATGTTATTGGAGCCAGGGTGGCACAGCGAGTAAGACGTTGGCTCGCTAACCTAGAGGTTCCATGTTCGATACCTGCGTTGTTCCGGAATTTTCCGGCCTGGTTACCCCCTGTCAGTAGTGCAGGACAAAGGGTCTGGAAAACGACAACGTATAGTCGTTCTGATGGGACGAATGACCAAGGAATCGTGCACACATTGGCGTGCACGTAAAAGATCCCTTGGCAGTTGGAATTCGTTATAAGAGTCTCCATTAGCCCAGTCGGAGCAGAACAGTATAGGACGTAAACCCCATTTCATTTCTATGTTCTTTTTTATAAGCCAGAACTATACACCCAAAATAACGGAGGACGGGTTTGATGCATTAATAACGTACAAATAAAATATGATCAATAATTTAAAATATTCTATGTAAGCTTTGACGTTTAATGTCCTTTATATATTAAACTTTTTTCAATAAAACATAAGATCATTACTACAAAAATAACGGGGACCTTGAAATTAAGTAAATTAAATTTCATCAACATGATAAAAGAGTTTATTTGACTCAAATTAGCAACGTAATCTAACCGACTTGTGTACACAAGGAATATTTAATACTTAGTAACATTTTAATTATTATCTTTAATTTTTTAAGATTTTTATAACGGTATTAAGACTACAGAATCTATTCAGATTGTTTGCTTGAAACGTATAATACGGTGTAAACTGAGTTAAAGCCAAACAACAAAGCTGTAATTATCCCACTTAACAAGATATTTTATGTGGTTATCAGCTTTCATTCATCTCAAATTATTTTTTTCTTAAAAGTCATGTCACTACAAAGGGTGTAAATTTCATTTAAGCAGAAATAAATTCGCATCACGTACACGAGGTTTAAATTTAAAAGCAAACATAATGCAGTTGTTATTATTATGACTAATAATTAAACACATTTTTGACACTCTTTTTTATTCTTTTCTTAAATTTACACTTTGATTTAACACATATATGTGATACGTGCGTGTAATTTTTAATTAAACACCATACAAGTTTAATAGCGGTGTAGTGTGAAGAAAATCGTGTCCGTTCGCAGTTCAAGTTATTGGTCAATACCGATAAACGTGACACGAACCCGATTACGGTTACTTTACATGTTCACTCATAAAGTAATGAGGCCGTGCAGACAGCGAACGATTAGTCAATCGGACGCCCGCCTTTCACATACAGCAAGCATCGAAAAAATATTCAAACTAGATCAGGATGTCGCATGATTCATAGTAATGATCTAAAATATCGCATAAAGAGATTGGACATACAGCTGAACTTCATACCGTAAGCTGAACTTCATATCGTAAGTTCCTATAATTCGACACATTAACGATAGTGTTTTCACTTCATTGATAATAGTGTAAAAGAAGATAGGACAAAAAGAAGCACCTTGTGGAATTGTTTTTGAAATGGATTCAATTGAGGTTTTCTAATAAGAGATCTATATCATTGTTAATACTACAGAGGAACTTTGCACAAAAGAGGGATCTCCGCAGAACTGTTTTTGAAGTAATTATCACCGTCGGAAAATTATCTAGTTCAGAGCAACGCTAAACAAGAAAGCCCCCACGGAAAAGTATTCTCATAACAGAAAAAAAAGCGCTGCTCTTGTAAAGTTTATATTAAGTTTGTCAGATCGTGATGTGTTTTCAGTTGAGGTGAATTTGGGGTCGGTCAGTAGTCAATGCCGTCTGACTTAATTTTCACACGTATATTAATAGTGCTTTCATACTGTTTATAGAGCAGAATGAGTAATCCTATGGAGTTTTAGTGAACAATCTACCAAATTCAACTTTAGTTCATTGTTCAGATCATGTAGTATTCTTAAAGAACACGAAGTCGCCATAAAAAAGTAGTTTTATTAAATAACATGGTTTGTACATGAAATATAAGTTTAAGTTTACTGCGTCAAATGGTTTTGTTCATCTGTTAAAACGCTAACAAAATTAATAAGTTTATCCGTCCGACATAAAGGAGGAATCAACATGGAACCGGATACACCAATCGAGGATCATCCTCGTAGAAAGAGGAGAGTGACGTTCTCTATGTCAACCATCGAAGCCGATTTGAAAAAGAAAACTTATATAGAAGGAAAGGAATTACGAAACACCGCAATTATATCCGTATCGTTTATGGTAGTTTTTACAGCTCATATCGCGCTTCAAAACTTACAATCTAGTCTCCACGAGGAAGGACAATTGGGCATCATTGCTCTGAGTTGCCTGTATGGTTCTATTATATTTTCTGGAATCTTGGCACCGACTTTCATAGGAGCCATCGGTGCCAAAGGTTGTATTATTGCTTCGTGGGTAGGGCATTTGATATATACTAGTGCTAACTTTTATCCAACATGGGGCACGCTTATCCCCGCGTCCATACTTCTGGGGATATTTTTTGGACCTTTGTGGACCTCTCAGAGTTTGTACATCTCAGCCTGTGCTTATTCGTACTCTGGTTCTACCGATGAATCTCCGTACTCGGTGCTCAGTCGATTAAACGGATTGTTCTTCATGATGTACGAAACGACGCAGATTACGGGCAACCTTATCTCATCCTTAGTGCTGCAACACAGCACTTACAACATGTCTGATGAAAATATAACTAAATACTGTGGTCCCCATGATTGTCCGGGACATATTAATTCCACTAATATCGAGGAACCAGATGAAGATCTCTTCCATCTGTTACTGGGTATTTTTCTGAGTCTTGAAATGATCGGACTTTTCATTACGATTGTTTTTCTATCATCCCTGCCTAAGAGTGACTGGACTTTGTCCAAATCAGTGAAAGAGTCTCTGGCATCATGTTTTGTGACCCTGGTGAAGAGTGAGATCCTGTTTTTAGTCCCTTTTATCATGTTTCAAGCCATGGAACAGGCGATTCTATTGGGAGACTTCACAAAGGTAATATTTTTATGTATTCGCTAGGTATTATTACGGATAGTTACAATGTAAAGCTTTCTTAAAAATTATATATAATTATTGGGGACAGCAGTTTATTAAAACAAATTGCAAAATTTTACGTGAGACGATCAAATCCTAGAGAGGCTCCATGTGACTGGTGTACAATCTAAAGTCATGTAGTGTACAATCTATAACTAAATTTGCTCTTTATTTCATTATAGTTAACTTCAGTTTCCTGCACTGCATAAATATCTGAATACTTTATTTTTATCAATTCTCTTTTTTCACCAAACTCTAATTTTAGCTTCTGAGATTGGTTAACGTCCGCCCTTTCGTAGCCAACGCGTCTGCTCATTAGATAATTTAAATGTCCGATCAATTGAACAAAAAAAAATATTCAAGGATATTGTTAGTTGTTTGGCCACATGGGCGTCCACAGGATGTGTAAAGACACAATTACAAAATTAATTATTTTAATTTAAAGGCTGTTCTATAGAGCTGTTGAAGACCTTAGTCGAGCGCGGGAATCTGTGTTCGATTAGCCAATGTTAAAGCGAGAGTTGCATATTTTCTTAGAAACTCAAAACATAATTATTTCTATATCTTGTGTTCAATACGTTGTCAAACATAATTATACAGCTCAACGTTGATCTTTAACTTGAAAATGAAATATTTGCCAATTTCTGAACTGACAATAGTGAATTATAGGATTAATAGGATTGTTCTTTAACAAAGTAGGGCTATGTATAGATTTCATGTGTTTTAAGGCTTTATTTTAAGATAATTTAACCATATGACTCCAAAAATGCTATGTAATGTTTATGCAATACACATTTGCAGGTTTCAAAATGGCAGACTGACATCAGTATCTGTTTGTTGGGTCAAATTAACCACTTTATGCAAATATTAAATATCAGAATTAACTATAATATTTGACATTGTCTGCTGGCATCATCTAATTCGGTACCTTGTAAAGTTATTGCCCCTAACACCCAATTTTATATTTAATCTTTAATCTTTGATCTTTGATCTTTAATCTTTGATATTTAATCTTTAATCTTTGAAGTTTGATCTTTGATTTTTGATCTTTGATTTTTTATCTTTAATCTTTGATCTTTAATCTTTACTCTCTACTCTTTACTCTTTGATCTTTGATCTTCAATCTTTGATCGTTAATCTTTGATTAGTCTCAGGTGAAAATAGGTATATCAAACATTCAGCGTCACAGCTAGCAAATCACATGGGAACTCAAACCCATCATGATATAATCAATCCATGCTATTGTAAAATGGATGTATATCACTATAGTGGGCGTATATTTCGTTTCCTGGAAACCTATGTTTCAATTTTCAAGAAATAAATCGAATTACCGGGATGCTGTTACATGTGTTGAAAAGTGGTCTCTTCCGGGAAAAGCATCAGTTCTGCCAGTTATTGGGTTTTACCTTTCCAATCACAAAAAATACATTACGATAGTGACCTCGTTTGATTTCGTTTGTTTTTTTTATTTTGTTTTTTTTTTGATAAAGGTATCGGGGATATTTTTTTCAATTTATTTTTTTAAAAAGAATATTTGAAATGAAATGGGGTTTAAAGTCCTACTTTTCTGCAACTACATTGCTAATGAATACGGTTTTAAGAATGTAAGATATGTGCTTAATGCCATTTCATAATAAATCACATACAATTTGTCTATGTTCAAATAAACATCTTGAAGTAATTATTATATTAAGTTGAGCATTATCTCTTTAAATAGTCAATGTTATATCCGTTGCAATCGCCTCATTTTGCACACATGGGTATTTAACGCATATTTACTAATAACCATAATATACATATTGCCTCTTCAGGCACGTTTTCTTAAACACTTCAATGGTAAAGATTTAAATAGTATATTTGGTCTGTTATTAATGGGGACATGTTTTATTTGAATAGCGACACAATGTTATGGTTTACATTTTGTTAGGCTTGACAAGCGTGAGTTAATAAATTAGAATTCTATATTTCATACAGTGCACTTTCACTTATTCTGAATATGATTACTATTATTAACAACACTGAAATAAAATTTTCCGTCAATTTGTCATTGTTATTGCACGTTTTCCTGTGCAATTAATATATTATATATGCTGGTGCTGTAGAACTAATTGTTCCGTAGGTGTTATTTTTTCACTAATTTCCGTTCTTTTTTTTTTATTTTTTTTTATTTGACAATAAGTTATTTTTCTAAGAATGAAAAAATATGTCTGCTTTACAAAAAAAAGACCGTATTAATCTTCTCACTGTAATGGGTGATTTTTGCTTAAGATTTCTAATTTTGACAATCAATTATTGTGTTTTATAAACAAAACTTATTATCAAAGTAAAGGTGATTTTTCTATACAATTAAAAATACTTATCGTGACCCAGTAAATAGCTAGATTTATTTAAAGTTATATTTCAAATTAAATTAATCAGTTAAATTTAAATCTCGAAATGCATTAATTGATAATTTATACGATGTAGCAGGCGGTATGATTCACTATATGACTATAGAACTGGTCCTGCCGGAAGATGTAGCTTATATAATATCTAGATGATATATTTAAACAAACATTATGCAAGATTAAATCTGTCTATTGCGGGTCTTTCATTAGGCCTGAAATGTTATCTAAATCATTAATTAGACATTATAATTAACCTATCCAGACCATAATCAACTCTAGATGGCAGCGCTAGCCTGTGATCTTTACTGGGTTATAAGCCGATTTACTGCATAACTTTCCTTCACGATTTAACGATTAAATGGATAATCGAGATTGTTTATCGTACTGACTTTAGTAATATCATGATGATCAAGGCTAGCCGGAGATTTCAACCGCTTAGCTCTCGATTCATAGTGGATCAATTTGAATGAAATTTTCAGCAAATTATCTAGTTTTTAACAATTATAGTGAGAACTGCCAACTCGTTATCGAATCTCCCATTAAAAAAAACGTATACCATATAATAAATGCTAACATTATTTGGTTTAACAACTTTCGGACCAGTGGGCGTCTTGGCCAGATAGCATTGTATTGTTTATTTTGATATCTTTACTTAATTATCTTTAGTACAGTAAGGCCCCACTGCTTTGTAAAAAAAATACAACTAATTATAACTAATAAGCAATATCGATGATGGCAATTGGGAATCAATAGCTTTTGGGATTATTTGATTTGACAGATGGAAAATCTCATAACACAAACCCGGGGCGTTCCCATCACAAATCTCCATTAAGGATTACCGAAATTCAAAATGTGTATCGTGACTTGCGACAATGCCCCCCCCCCCCAACGCAATGCCCCAACGAATAAAAATACCCATCTAAGCATATTATGAATTTAAAAAAAAAGCTAGCTATATTTAGTTTTCGATGGATACAAACAAAATCAAAGAAAATATATATATATATATATATCTATTATAAGGAGTAACTGATATTAAATTATACAATTATAAACTTTCTAGGTTATTTTTTGGTAAAAAGTTAATCGTATTTTTATTGTTCCTTATTATATGTATTGTATAAATTTATAAAAGTTGCATTGTTTTAATAAACAAAGGGTCGTGAACCAATCGTTTATTCGTCGTAAGATTTTTTGGGGAAGTGCATTGGGGTTCTTGGTGATATGACGTTGGGGAATGTCTGTTTTTAAACAAAAACAACATTTACTTGTGTTTGTGTGAACGTACATGTACTTGTTGACTGACCTAAACAATAGACGTTGATTACGTAACAGACGATGAAGGTGACCTAATGACGTGGATGAATGATTTTAAAGTACAGTTCCCATTTTCCGAAAGGTTTCGGCAATAAAATCGTGCACGTATGCCAATCAAAAGTCAAAATTGACCGAAACAGTCTATTTTCCTTGTTAAAGAGATTTAGCTCAAAATTTAAAAAAAAACACAAAAAACCACGAAAGAATGGTGGAAAATGTCACTCTGAGGCGCGTGAGATGTAGACACGTTTACCCAGACACAAAGGTGATTGCGAGCCATGATATTTTTTTTTTTTTTTTTTGACGTACTGAGCTTCAGAGTGTTGCTTAAGATGAGAATATTCTAAGATAGGAATGCCCTTTTAACCATTTTTAATTGACATTGTTTTCTAAAGATTTGTGAATGTTTTGAAAATTTATGAAATTTTCGGCCAATCAGCAATTGGTTCATATCAAAATGAAAACATTACTATCCCACCTACCAAAACCGTTGTTTAAAGGTTTCCATCTGGCATTTAAAAAATGACATTAAAATTCATTTGAAGGGACACATTTGGTTGACGCCAGTTCAAGTACATGCATGTGCATGCTATTACTTGTGGATTTTCTTGGGAACTGTATTTTAAAAGCAACACCGTAGGAATAAATTCTACTAAAAATTAAGGAGGAAAACGAAATGTCATATTGCTGAAAGGAAGTGCAACGCGCCGTAAGATCAGTCATAAAAATGTTATCGTGACCCGGAAGTTACATTCTGTTAACCTCGAGGCAATGGTTATTAATATTTTATGAGTGATTTATAAAAGTCATGTCGTTAATTAAGTTTTTAATCAATTAATCATTACAAATATTAACCACACGTGGAGAAAATCTATTTTCGGCTTTTGGTGTTTTAATGTGAAGATGATATTCAGATTTTTATGTCGGTTTAATTTTGATGATTCACTGTTCGCTAATTCATGATGTAAATATAATTTATTGCATAGTCGAATTATTAGACAAATAAATAACGGTGTTTGAAGTATATCTGGATAAAAAAATATTTCCTGTTTTTTAGTGAAAGTGAGTACATAAAATAGTACACGGCGACTTGATAAAAATGAATAAAAGGCGTCAATTTTGTCCGGACCTACGCACGTGTATCGACCCTGTATATGATGTGACGTCACACGTAGAATATTAATCAGTGAGAATATGAGAGGCTACAACGAAACAGTGTATTTTCTTGATTTAAGCAAATAGACAATCAAACATTTCCAGAAACATTTTAAAGGGGTAAATAGTGATCTGGATCGACTTGTGTAAAACAAAATAACAAAAGTAATAAACACAATCCTGGCAAATAGTTATAAATTTGGCTAAAATCCATCAAGAGTTTTTGAGACACTTTGGAGCAAGTAACATTTTTTAAACAAGACTTGACTCAAATTACTATACATGTACATCACAAATTTGATTGACAAGCGTGTTTAGGATGAAACATCGAATGCATCTAAATCTGTCTAATCAATGCGATCTATCCAATCCCTATCTGAATCTGAATAAACACTATCCAGGCAAATAATTTTGGTTGTATAATCCATGGGGTTAGTTAAGATTTACCCCTTTATACCTGGATTAGCATCCCTAAATCAACGTACCGACCTAAGATGGCTAAACCTCCTCGTGGAGCCACGGTGACTAAGTGGGTAAGACGCTGGCCTGGTGGACGCGTGTTCGATCGCCGCATTGGCCGAGAAAGTTCACCGGGATTTTCCGACGTGGTTTCCCCTTGTCAGTGGTGCAGGAAGGAGGCCCTGAAAAGGACAGCTGTCTAGTCATTCGGATGGGACGAAAAACCAAGTCCTGTGTATACATTGGCGTGCACGGAAAAGATTCCTTGGCAGTTGGAATTCGATGTAAGAGTAGGCCATAGTGCCGCTGCCAAGGCAAAATTTCCCTCATAACACATTCTATGGCGTATTCGGCTAGACCCATCTTCATTAGGCAGTCAGAACAGAACAGCAGGCCATTAAACCCCATTTCATTTCTAAACCCCTTCACATATGTTAGGGGAAGAAAATGAAAATACACAAATATGCCGAGTATCCTTCTTTATACCAACGTTAATAATCGTTCCTATCAACATACTTAACAAAATAATGTCGATGACATCCATCGTGCGGTTTAAGAGAAGAAGTCGAAAATGACAATTTGTTTAAGCCTAACGGACAGGCGACAGGCGGCTAATATAAATAATATTTTTTATCAATAATAATTATGAAATATAAAGTTGTAAACAAGATGTTAGAAATACATTACAAAATATGAGAGAGCAGAATCAGCAGATATAAAATATCTCGTCATGGTGAAGTATATTATATAAAATGAAGGAAATATATTTAAATTTTAAAATTTTATTAATAAAAAAAGGCAAGATTAGTTTACTAAAAAATATACCAAGCTGTGAGAGTAACTAGACTTTACAACTGTGAAGGTCACTGTTCCATACTGTCATAACCACCTTTAAATAAACTTTGGATGAAATAACTGTGTATCTGTCGGTAGTAAATCTTAAGTAATTCAAGGTTGAATTTGAGTTTTTTATTTCTATATGTTAAAGAATGGAGACGGACTCCGGACAATGTGAACCAACTGCATTTCATTGGTCGATGCTTTCAAATTGATTTAGACAAAATTTGGAATTTATCTTCATTGTTGCAGTCATCCGCCTAACTTTGAATAAGACTATCCACAAATAATTAATTGTCATACTGCAATCGGATTGATCGATTCTTTGACAGGCAATAACTTTACTTCTGGTAATTAGTTTTAATAATTGTATGGAATCTACCTTCATTATGAACTGCATACATTCAAACGTCAATACTCTCAGTTGATTTGTAATCGAGGCTACTCCAATCTAATGAATTGATCCTCTGGGACGCAATTATACTTTTACGTCTTGTGAATAGATTTGGATAACGTTTGGAATATACTTGTATCACCACAGTCCCTAGCTTCAGTTCGCATATTTAAGTCCCCATATTGCAATATCAATGGTCGGTCGATTCAGAGCCGGATAAAGCATGCTTGGAGCCCTTTGGCTAAAAATGCCACTGGAACCCTTGCATCAACACAAAAAGGGGACATATTCTGGTCATTGTCCGTTACACTTAAACAAATGCAATATGTAGAGAGATTTATATGGTTAAACATATACAAAGCCCTATTGGATTCCTCAATTCCCGTAGTCAGTGCCCATGTTAAATCTTATGCTAGCCAGTACATTCTGGATAAGAGCTAATAAATGATAGTGGTGTTGGATGGCCGAATGGTTAGCGCGTGCGCAGTGTATCAAGGTCTGTCATTGAGTGAACTGGCGTGGTTTCGATTCCCCGGTTGTACGTGACAAAGTGTAGGGTCGCCTGTCCAAACTGGTGGGTTTTCTCCGGATCCTCCGGTCCCCCCCCCCCCACTGCTAAAGACCCCTACGCGCAAGCGAATTATTGAAATAAAATTGAATTATATGTTAGTACAGATATGACCTAGTTTGTGTCGAGTGAACATTAAACTCCATTTCTCTCTCTCTCCCTCTCTCTCTCTCTCTCTCTCTAATATTTTTTTATGTTTGTTTTAATATTATTGTTTCTTGGATATTTTTCAGTCTTATATTAGCTGTCCACTTGGTATCCACATGGTTGGTTTTGTCATGGCGTGTTATGGAGCCGCCACAGCAGTGTTTGCATTTGTTTTCAGTAGGCTTGCAAAGTATACCGGACGATATCTTCTGTTTTTGATGGCCTTCTCCACCAATATGGCGTTGCTAATTTTCTTGTATTTTTGGACGCCGTCATCAGATAATCCTGTGCTGATATTTGCTATACCGACTATATGGGGAATTGCCGAAAGTATATGGCAGACGCAGTCCAGTTGTAAGTATTTGCAGTTCTTCAGGTCCATGTCAGATAGTAAAATTATCAGTATCAATGAGAATGCTTATAATATTTCATCAATTAAATTTATCAAAAGTTATTCATCGATCAGGTTTTCACGATTGTATATTCTTTTAAAACAATCAATCGCCAAGGTATCAATTTTCTAATGATAATAAATTTTCTCATTTCAGCCCTGATAGCTTTGCTGTTCTCTGATAAGAAAGAACCAGCTTTTGCGAACTATCACACTTGGAAAGCAGTGGGATTCACATTGACTTTTATATACGGTAGTTTTCTGTGCGTATCGGTTAAACTTTTAATAGCCGCATCTTTGCTGGGTATTGGAATGGTGCTGTATGTGTATGTAGAGGTCAGGATCTATTTCAAGGAGAAAGCAGCTCTAAGGGGGCCACCATCTCGTGATAATGCAACTGTACAAGAGACAACGTAGCTTCCCATTTGATATATTGTAAGGGTATATTCGGGCGTTTTTTCTACCGATGTTAACAACTGTAAAGAACACAGAATTTAACAGGAAAAGCAAAATGTGTGATGTGTACCTATGATCTAGTGGTATGAGCAGCAGTGATATTATTCAGTATTTGAATCGTAAAATTTTAAAATAAAAACTATCTCGAACTTTAGTCATAAACGTTCTTCAGAGATAAATAATGTAATTTATATACGACATAGTACATTTCGCTATTTAGACTTCATGGTTCTTTAAAAAACAAAAAAAAAAAAAAAAAAAAAAAAAAAAAAAAACCCAATGATGAATTCTCAGCAATTTAACTGTGTACTTGACTTTCTAGTACAGGTATTGTTCATGATCTCTGTAAGACTGAAGTAGTGTAAAGACTAAGATTTAGAGTTGGTACAAAAACATTCTACATGTTTTCGTTGAATGATGATGGTGGGCATATCTTCAGTGCTTTATCTAACTATGCAGCGTGTATTATTTACATGCAAAAGAACAATGCTGGGCATATGTTCCTTTATGGCAATACTATGCGGGGCATATTTATTATTTATTGCAAAACTATGCGGGACATATATTATTTATTGCAAAACTATGTGAAGCATGTCCTACTTTATTTCAAAGCCTAGTTCCGCACGATTTATTTTATTTAAAAAAAAACAACCCAAAAAAACCCCAAAAAACACACACTGGTTGCGTATGATTACAAAACTATATGGCGAATAATAATACGGTGTATGGTTGGCTTTATTTTGAAATCATATTCTGCATATTTGGCCTACTATCAAACTATACGGTGTATGATTAGCTTTCATGCTGAAATTATTGCCGTGTGCGCGCAAAAAGTTGCAAACATCAATTGTATAAATATTATCCTATGTACAGATTGCGCTGTGATTAATATGCTGCTATTATTCTTAAAAATGTTTTTTTGTTTTTGTTATAAATAACCAACCATTGCATTGATTAAAATTGATTTGATGTTGGAAAAGTGGATAATCGAGTGACTACAAACAAAAAGAATGCATAAAGTCTTAATGCGACAGACAATTGATAATTGTTTTCCATTAAAGGGACAATAACACTCTCGCTGGCTTGACAGCTCCAGAAAATAAATAGCCTTATTCTAAGTACTAGATGTGTTAGTGTCTTACCTGTTGTGTAAATTATCCATTAAATCCTATTTTTAAATCCAAGTCACATTTGAAAAGCTTTACGTCAGGCTTTTCAAATCATTTAGTTGAATTTTTCCAGGAAAAAAAAATTAGGTGTGTTAAGATGAAATTTGCATCACCAGTTAATTGGAATAGTAACAAGAAGAGTGGTATTGAGCCTTTAAAAGAGCACATGCATTTAACTCATAAAATGGCATGTGCTTAAACATACATTATGCAAGAGCTAAATCTGTCTATTGCAGGTCTTTCTTTAGGCCTGAAATGTTATCTAAATTATTAATTAGACATTAATTAACTTATCCAGACCATAATCAACTCTAGATGGCATCGCTAGCCTGCGATCTTAAGTGGATTGTGAGCCGATTTACTGCATAACTTTCCTTCTCGATTAAATGGATAATCGAGACTATATGCTGTTTATCCTACTGACTTTAGTAATGATGACGAAGGCTAGGCAGAAATTACATTCCCTTAGTTCTCGGTTCATAGTGGATCAATTTGAATGAAACTTTCAGCAAATTACCTTTACGTTATCTAGTTTTTAATTATTATAGTGAGAACTGCCAACTCGTTATCGAATCTCCCATAATGTATCTTTAAGTTAGGGGGGGCCGACAAGAAACTCAGATAGCAACTGACGGTGTCAGCGGTCCAACTATAAGCCCTGTCAGTGCTTCTGTGCGGCTAAAAGCCCACATCGGGGGCACAGAAAGTCCGACAGCAGATAGACGACTGGAGAGGCCGCATAGAAACACCGACAGGTTCCGACACCCTATCGGACCCAAAGCCGACAGGCGATTGTTCTGTCCGGCAGAAAAAAACACTTCCAGTAGTCCGGTCGGTATTCCTAACATGTGGCGAGTGGGTGCGGACACGTTTTTCGCGACCCACTGAGTGTTCCGGCCTCAAGTGAATCCATTTGAGGACTTTAGGCCTACGGAGGAACATTTAAATACAGATTTTCCAAACCAATATTCGGGGAGTTGTTCATGGATATTCTGGACCTTTCGCTTGAACGATATACTCCCAGGTAATAAAATAATTCAACCCCTTTTTGGTGGAGTGGGAAATATGATCCTTTTGGGTACCTTATTGAATCGGATTGAACTGCAGGCTTTAATCTGTGCCCGGCTCTTCATATTAAATATACGCCTGAATCAAATAAAGAAATAAAGTTTAATCAAAAGTGGCCTGGATCTATAGGCAACGAATATTTTTCTGTTGTTTCAGACCACAATCACTAGATTCGCCGCTGCAGCTGAGCGATACTTTGCTCAAGGCGGATTTTTGCCAATGGTAGATGTTCCCGATGTTGGTACAAGAACGATAAGTCATGCATTCACACTGTCGCGCAGGCGATTTGTGAAAAGGATAGACCGCTTTATTTAATAGCCCGACGCTGATATCAGCGGCTCGAGCAGGAAATCTAAAAATAGTCAATTTTGAGGACCATAGTACCGTTAGCCATTGCACCCCGACAGCCTATTCGGTGTTTCTACTATCGGTCGTCCAACGGTGCATCGGTGCTGCCAACCAACCCGAGTCCGATAGCGTCCCGACAATTGCTCTCGGTGGCATCAGTGACAATTTTCTAGACGGCCGCCCTGATGTTTTGATGAACAGACACAATGTTCACCAAAATCCGATCGGGTTAATAAAAACAGGATTTGCCTAAAACACAGTCGTTTGGTGCAAAAATATTGGGCCAAAAACACATGTATATGGCACCAAAGAGACAAAATCAATTAAAAATATCCACAGGCAAACGGGGGGGGGGGGGCATATTTCGTCTGACAATATCGATGAAAAAAAGACTGAAAACAGTATTGTTGCCAAAAATATCCCCGATTACCTTCCAAATATGTTTTTTTGGGTAGGTATTTTCGTATATCGAGAACAAAGTTTCATTCCGTCCCGTAAACAATATCCCGAAATACCGTGCTTTGTAGAATACGGAAATTGTGGATGTCTTTAACATAGCGTGTTTACATCATGCAAAGACTCCACAGACGTGAATTTTGTATTAACAATACTACGAATGTTCCTGAAAATACACTAATTATTTAATGAAACATACAAAGAACAATAATTATTAGTCTTAATACAATAATTTAATAAAAGAAATTTCCATGTTATATGATGAAATCTATAATATTGGCACATTAATACAACTAACAGTGCACTTTCTAATATCACCGATAAACTATCACTGAGTTTAGATACACAATATGAATTCAAAAATACCATTGGTCTTTATAGATGAACTCTTTAGGTTATTAAATAACTGTCAAAATAGTTTTAAGATGGTATCGGACGGACGGATTGATGATAAAAAAAATAAATTAGAATTGATGATAAATTTTATGACTTGCTGAAAAATATATAATTTGTTACAATCTGTGTTAAAATCATTGTAGAGTAGTAATACTACAGATAATACCCCTTCCAGTGAAGACTATATTGTCCAAAATTTAGACACCCAAATATAATTAGTACTGCAAAGTTGAAAAAGGTTCAAACATTTTGTTTTGGCACATATAATCAAGATCAATGGATCATATCTCCCCAAAAGTTTTACTATTGTAGGAACCTTGCTTCCTGAAAATATGCTTATATTTATAACTGATATATATGTATAGAATTTGAGAAGCTTTAAACATATGGATCTATTGTGTACGAAAGAATTTCGATCACATTTACAGTTGTAGAGATTGACTTGGCATCTAAAACAATTCATAGTGAAAACATTGTAAATAACTTGAAACATCCAGAGCAAGATACCATCCACAGTGGTTGAACCAAAACCAATTTCTCCCAAAAACATTTTCAAACATTCAAATTTAAGAGAGAATATAAACCATACAAAAAAAAGTTTAAAGGCACAATCAAATTTTACATTAATATATAATAAACCCTAAAATCGTAAATCTTAAATTGAAAATTCTGCCAATTACAACACAACAATGACAAAACTATGAATACAGAACCCTAATAAAAATAAGTTTACATGCCAGAATAAAATTACCCAAGGACATGCAAACTTGAATAATATCAGATTTTGTTACAACTATGAATATCAACCCCTAAAAAAATAAGTAAACAATCCAGAGTAAGATCAGTGATTCTCAACCAGTGTGCCACGACACACCATCCTAAGTGTGCCGCGAAATTTTGAACGGCACACTAAGAAAATGTGAAAAAACGCCTGATCCCAATTGAGTATTCATTGGTGTCTACTTATAAGTTCATAGCTGTGTTTTTCTTTATTCAATTTGAGTCATTCTATGTGTCTATAACTAGTCTCTGTCTACGGTTGTATGCCGTCTGACTTACCATGTTTTTATTTTGCAAAATTCAGATATTTTTCATATATATTTATCCAGGTTTGCCGCTATTTTTTCATGTGTTCCCTGGTGTGCCGTTGGCAAAAAAGGTTGAGAACCACTGCCATAGATCAACAAACTTAAATAATATCAGACCTGTTACAACTATTAAGCTAGAACCCTACAAAAAATAACTTGCCAGAGAAAACTTACCATAAGGCTACAAGCTTTTTAAATAACAGGTTTTATTACAACCAGATACAAGAACCATAAATACTGACTTATGTGCTGCCAGAATAAAATTACCCTAGAGTTAGAAATTTAACTAATATCACATCTTGTTACAACTAATCAAATAGAACCATAGAAATTAAGTTTACATTCCAGATTAAAACTAACCTAGAATTACAAACTACAATAATATCTTATTTTGTTATGAAACAAGAACCACATAAAAAATTATTTGCCAGAGTAAAATTACCCTAGAACTACAAGCTTGTAAATAATAACAGGTTTTATTACCTCTTCATAAATTATTAAAATAAGGCAGTTCCAATTTCAGACATTAATGGCACCCAAGCATTAGCATTATCTTAAGCATTACTTCTCAATTCATCAGAATCCCAAAGCTACATTTTAGTGGACACACTTCAAAATTACAAATTCTGACATTTATTATTTAGTTATAATAAAAATGATGCCCCCCCCCCCTCTTCCTCCATTCTGTTAAAACAAATGATTATGTTTTGTTTATTATTGCGTAAAATATGTCATATATATATACAAAATATCATTTACAATTGTTTGGCTAGTATGTCAAATAATTGTCCAACAAAAAGCACTGTGAGAATTTTATACTATAAATAAGCACACATAAATATGTAAGGCCTCTGTGTCCTTGCTAAAGCAAGCCTATATCACAGTAACAACAAATTCAATAACAAATATAAGACAATATATAACATTAGAATAACAAATATAATATACTAGGAGATCTATACTTTCCAATCAAATATAATGTGGGATTTTGTCCAATTTTAAAAGTTACAATATGCATGAGCAATGTTTAAAATTTGCAGGTATACAACTACATCTACTAGATACATGTAATTACTTCTAGCGGATAATAATAATAATAAGTCTGCTGCCATATGGTGATATATTACTGCATAATTTAATTTCCTATCACCAATTTTGATGCACATTTATAAAAATCAAATGTTAATATTTACAAGTCATGGCATACAATGGGTATTATTGATAAAAAAAATATATAGACTATAGCCAGAGCTTTTTTTTCAGAAAATACAAAGCCCTTAAAGGTTTAGCTCATAAGCCAATTTACAATTTGAATCTCTAGTGTTAAAGATTTACTTCCAAGAGCAGGTTTACTATATAGTCTACCTAGTAAACTAAATTTCTAACTACCAGGAAAAACAATATAAAAAAAACACAAGGTATATATGGATATAACTACTTCTCTGTTATTAAATAACTTTTGCAAAACATACTGGTCTTTTTGAAAACATTACCTGGCTTTATGTGTTATGCAACATCGTTGTTAGTTATATCCATATTAACCTTGTTTTGTTTGTGAATAGTTAACCATACTTCTAGCTGTCACTTATGGAATTAAATAATATTATAGTCTAAAATTCCATAATAAGTCCCAACAATTTAATTATAATATATTGTTCCTCACTCTTTAGTCATTATGTGCTGTAATAGTAACAAGCATAGTTACTGCACTCACTGCATTAAAATTTGTATCACTTAAAATGTTATGTTTTGAAGTATCTCTTAATTAAGGTACCATGGTTTTGGCAAATTCAATATATTTTCCTAGTAGTCTGAACATATATCACAGTTGATGATTATGTATTTTAGAGTCATGAAAATATGTGTTTAACTGGTTTACCTTATTACTAACTGGGAAATAAAATTTGATCACATCAAATAAACAAGATAAAAAAAAAATAACACTACCTATTAAGTATTAAACAAACAATAAACATACAAAAATACACATATTTATTATAATTTACAAACGATTGTCAAAAATAGACATTTCACTGAACAATTCTTCAAAAACCAGAAGATATTCTGTGATATTAAAACCGAGTATTAAAATATATCACATATTTTGTAGTTTCATATAATTCTACCTTCTTTTTTGTCACAATAAATGAAAACCAAAAATACTCGTTGTTACTCAAAATCAAACATTCATTTTAGTTGAGCAAAATGGATAGAACAAAAGAAAGTTCAAAAATTTATTCTCAAAGTGATAATATTATGAAACTATATGAAACTTTAAATATACTTGTTGTTTAACTAATTAAAGTGGGGGAAACAGCTTTTATATTGGACGTTAATTGGAACTCTTAATTTAGTTTCAAAACACACTCGTTGCAGTATTTAATGCACTGTTGAAACAGCTGCAATCTTACCACTGACATTTTCCCAGGGAAGTAAAACGTGCTATGTTTAATAAATGATTTGTCTCCCTTGATTTGAGCTTTCAAAAAACCACAAAAAAACAGTATCTAGCAAGTCAAATTAAGGGAATACTCAACTGAAGTTCTGAAATAGTAATTCAGTCCATTCGAAATGTTTCAGACAAATACAGTGAATGATACAGCAATTACAATATGGGAACTCAAAAATCAAATTTTACAATAATTACACCTGGGAAGTAGTCGAAGAAATCTGGTTTTATAAAAGAAGAAAGTAATCCAGGTACATGTAAGTAGAGTATGTGAATGACTGGATTGGGAAGATGATCAATCTAAATGTTTATACTCATATTTTATCATAATCTGTTCTAACCACTGTGGCCATAATTGTAAATTAGGCTGTACAATTAGGCATTATTTTCCAATGAACTTGATAATTTACTAGCATCCATTAATTGATATTGAGCAAGAAGAGCTTCTGATGTTGAGTTGAGCGATGAATTCTGATTGGATGAGGATGACATGGGTATGGAACGTGACGATATCTTTCTTGAACTTTCTAATGTTGTGTTGGCACTATTAGCACTTTTTGATGTATGCACCCGACCGGGATGGGGCGATATGGTACTAGATTCTGTGTCTTCAATGTCTATTATACTTGTATCAGATTTACTTCTTGAAGTTTCACTTCTGTTAGTATATTCCTCTCTTTCATTAAGTGGCGTAGTAGATCTGTGACTCCCTCTCGCAGAAGTATTTCCATCCCTTGTCGATCTTGGTGTCTTTGCACCTGATTTTTTCTGATGTAATTGTGCAGCATTTCTAGGGGCAAAAAGTTGTTTATTTGTGTGTGGGGCCACAGAGGATTTTGTACTTTTAGTTGAACGTGTCGTTGACAAAGAGGGATGAACATAATCAATGACAGGATAAAGATTCCTTGGTGTTTGCGTAGATTTGGCTTCTACATCAAAGCTTCTATCAGTAAATAATGGACTTAATGACCTGCCGGTGGTGGGTGCCGACACAATAACAGATCCACCTGTTGATGGTGTGGACAAAGTGGATGGAGGTTGTTTGAATGTTTCAGTCGAAGCATTGTTAGAGTAGTTCTTGTATGGCGGTGGTGGACTGGGTGGACGATTAGTTCGATGTATTTGAAAACACAAACAATTGATAGTATCACAATCTAAATTACACTGACAATCACATCCCTGCATATTACCACACTGAAAAATAAAAATAACAGTCCCAGTTAATCCCTACAATCAAGAAAATCTATCTTATGGTTGTAACAGTGTATAGGGCCATGTTACACAAAAACTTCAACTAAAATCACTAAAATTAAAAATAAATTTTACGTATGTACATGTAAGTTTGGATGAAATTTTAGTTTAATAAAATTTTAAGGAGATTTAAGTTTCTGTGAAATAGGACCCTGAATTTTAAAAATTGTACACAGAAGTGAAAATCTTTCATCTCAAAAAAGCATAATTTTTGTTTTGGACATATGCACTTTACTTTAAGACTTTAAACCAAACTATTTGAACAGAAAATTATCTTTTTGGATAAATTTTATTCTAAAATTGATTATCATTTCAAGAGACCATTTCATTGTTTTTCTATATTTGTACATGACATGCATACGAATTTCACATACACAATACAAATTTTGAAGAATGATACATAACGACATATCATGGATACAGAAATATCATAGAATTCCTATCTTACAAGTTTAACTAAGCAGAAAGTTGTCAGTAATTTCTCTTATTGAAGTGAAATGAGGTTTTAGTTCTCTAATGGAATAATTATAACTGCATTTCACATGCATGCATTTAAAAACAATAAAACATTTAAATACAAAGATAACAAAAAAAATTCTGTACTGGACACAAAATATCAGAAATTGTTATTCATTCCAATATTCAAAATTGAACAACTGATGACTTTTGCAAATTAAAAATCTACAGAGTGTATTACAGAGTGTACAAAGGCCATATAAAAATATAAAAGTAAACGTTGTTTTACTCATTTCAACATAACTTCAAGCTGATCAAAGATTCTAGAAACAGATCAACAATAGAAGTCTTATCAGAAATGGCTGAAATTAAATAGCTGTAGAAATTGATAGAATTCTTTGTTTTATGATGAACAAGAAGAATGGGTGATAACTATTGTCACTAGAACATTCACAAGATTCTGCAAAGTTAATAAGGGCCATAACTCTACAATTAATTAACTGAAATTCGACAGGCTTCTGTGTTCCACTCATCTGAATAATGCATTGATGTTTAAGACAGATCAGATAATATCTTTTATATTAGAACATTCTAAAGATCCTACAAAGTAATCAAGGGCTATACCTCTGAATGGAATTATCCGAAAATTCAAAAAGATCGGATGATAAATTTAGTCTGTGCAATATTCACAGACAGATGAACGGACAGACAAAAAGGGCTACACCAATACACAACCACATTTTAATGGTATAAATATGATAATGACAACCATGACATTATTTACATGCCAAACTTTAAATTTATTACCATCCGTAAAATTAAACTTTTTATACTAAGATGCAATGAAAATGCACCACTGATTTATTATGACTGTATTTTACAGTAAAACATAGGCACTAAGGGTAAATATCAAAAGTCAGCAGGAAGTGTGACCATCTCTACGCTTTAATTAAATTCATGATTTTCAACATTCCCACACTGTCAAATTCACTTCTTTGTTATGGAGAGAATTGATCTGTGGTTAATGCATCGTTCTCACATGTTATCATCGTGATCTGATGTTGTTATCTTCTGAATTGCAGGATTTAAATGAAGCTCAAACAAGATTTACAATCGTGCATTTACAAAAGTAGACTGATTTCATTGCATCACAGTATACAACCATCCCAAACATTAAACTTATTACCATGCCAAACATTAAACTTATTATCATGCCGACCATTAAACTTACATTATCACACTGACATACAGGTTCAGGACGTACATTGAGAGGTGTATTGTAATATTGCTAAAATGGCAAAACAAATTGCATTAAATTCTAGCATCTGTATGTGAATACAGCTATACCCATAATACATCTTTTGGTTAAACCTTTCTAGAACACCTGTCTGATATTAGTTGTCACAGTGGTTGTGTACCTACTCAATCAAATATCATGATCTCTTCTTATTGATTCTTAAAGAAAGAAAATCTTACACAAATAAATCTGAGATAAAAATTTGTGTAATCTTACCGAACAACATCCATTTTCTCCAAGACATCGATCACACAAGATGATACCAACACAATCAACATCCTGTAAACACAATAACATGATATTAGACATCGATCACACAAGACGATACCAACACAATCAAAGTAATGTAAACACAATAACATGATATTAGACATCGATCATACAAGATGATACCAACACAATCAACGTCCTGTAAACATAACAACATGATATTAGACATCGATCACAAACATGATACCAACACAATCAACATCCTGTAAACACAATAACATGATATTAAGACGATTCTTGTTGGTACATGTATATGTTGTACAGTGTATTTATATAAGAGTTTCTTCAAAATAAATAACATGACTTGTGATGATTTGTTTCAGTGGAAAGATAACAATTAAAGAAGCTAAACCTTTAACGCAGTATTTTCTATAATATTTGAAATTAAAAACACAAATTAAAATTCAAGATTGGTCCTTCCCAATCAATATTAATGTTGTTTTCCAGCTGTGAAAATATAGGATCCTAATATAGTTTGGAGGCTCAGCGCGGGGGGGGTCCATCAAATGGGCACAAAACCAGACCCAACTTTTCTAGAGTGAAATTTTGCGTAGAATACGATGCCGAGTGGTAATCAGTCCGCCGTTGGGGCATTTCCGAGATATTCGGGGTCAAAGGTCAAATGGGTTCAATTTCACTGAAAGTGAACACGCGGTCATTCTTGTATCATGAAAATAAGCTGAAAATGATCGAAAGTAATCACACTATCAATAAAAATGTAAACTTGCTAAATTCACATTTGTTCTTTGTGACCCCAGAGGTCAAAAGGTCACATTTTCCGTTTTAGCACTAGGAAGATTTAAAGTAATAAATGTCAGCGTAAAATATAAAAACTAACGCTAAACCTGTTTTAATTAATAATAGGAACATTTAAAATTTATCTTTAGGTGGTCTTAGCAAATATCTAAGAACAATGCACATTTTGAAATCAGTGCACGAGTCCTGTACTCCATGATTTTGGGCGTCATTTATAATTAACAAATAAAAAACATATCCTACAAGAGAATGCAAAGTATTAATTAATGGGCGATTCACAAACGACAAAATAAAAATTTTAAAAAATGTGTAGAATGGATTGAGCAGGCGTAAATAACTTCCCTTCAATTTGGACTTTTTACAAAATTCCCCAAACATATTATCGTGCTTACCACTGAACTATAAATGCACGTATCTTAAAATTGATCACACGAAGTATCGTTATTTACGATATCCGGACCAACCTCCATTGATATCAGATTAAACAATTCTGTTTCGAAAGCAAGTTTATATATATAAAATCGCTCAATTAATACAGCTAATTAGAAATTACAATAAAAAATTGAATATAGACCTCTTTATATACATTCATATTAGATTAATATTTGCCTTCTGAACTTTTGACCCATTTTCGTCTACTTTAAGGTTCCAAAGAATAGAGCAATACACCCTTTAATCAAATAAGAAATTTATAATTAGCAAAAACTTCTCAATTGATTTGTGTACACAGTTCAGTAACGATATCTTGTGTGGTTCAAGATAAATGCTTAAAAAAAAAAACCTAGATGAAAGGACGGACAGAACCTTTTATAATAACCCTCCCTTAACATTGTTTCAAGTGCGATAATAAAAGGTTTCTTTTACGTGTACGTAATGTCTGCCAAAAGAATAACATATTCAAATATGCGCTTAGAAACACTCATGTGTAATGAAGCGCTATATAAATCGAATAATAATAAAATAAATCAAAACAATATGGTTCAAATTAAAAAAAATAAAACATTTAATATCTCGTTCTAAGTTTGATTTAAAATACCTTTTGACCTGCATACATGTATGTATAACAAAATTCTTTTGTTACTTTGCTGGTGGCTTGTACCCAGACTCGGCCGAACTTGTCACTTTTAGATTGAAAATAATTTTAAAGATTTATCCCACTGTTCCAGACTTAATAAGCTGATAACTTTTTTATATATTTTCAAATTTAGTCCAAAGATTTATCTTGTCCTGACAGCAATAACAAAATAACAACCCATATTTATAGGTGTAAGCTTATCTCTTTTTAAAGAGGCATTATGTTAGATTTAAATAAAGAGCCGATAAAGAGATTTAGCTCTTACATAATACATCTTTAAATAACAGATTTTGTGCTTAAAAAATATCCATTTACAAAGTAATACTAGATGTATTAAACAGTATTAACAATTAAACTAGTAAATCTCCATATCAAAAATATCCATTTACAAAATGTATTAACAATCAAACTAGTTAATCTTCATATCAAACAAAATGGCATAATTGTTAAATTTACAAATTTTACAAAAATAAAACAAACAAAAATCCGAACAAATGAAACAAAAGTAAAATTAAAACAAATCAATTTTGCTTGAATTGTTACCTTACACCACTGCTGTGTTTTCTGAAGTTTGAAGAAACATTTATTATGCTTCAATTCTTATCAAAACAAATCCCAACTCAGAAAATCTGTAGGCCTACTATACGTATATGTCAGAAAAAAAAAACTGAACGGAAATTTGCTCTGCAATACATTTTCTAAAACTTTTGAATTCAATTAGGTTCTTCTTTATGCCCAAATAAACCAAGTTTGAAATTTTTTTGTCTGCTATCACTCTGAATTTGATAACTTCAAACTATACAATCAAAATATAAGAGATTTTAACAGGGTTCCTGGAAAGAATAATTCAGTTGTACCAATACCTGAACTAGTACCTAACCTGTTCATAGGTTCCTCCTTTAAACTCATATGAATAATCTTACTGACTTTCAAAATAACCCTATACCATGTTCACAAGCATTCACAAGTCCAAAAGTAAAAGGGGGGTTGGATGGCCGATTGGTTAGCGTTTGTCATTGATTTAACTGGCGTGGTTTCGATTCCCCCATTGTACGTGACAAGGAAAAGGGTTGCCTGTCCAACATTCTGGGTTTTTTTCTGGGTCCTCAAGTTTCCTCCCGCTGCTAAATACACCTATCCGCATGCGAATTATTGAAATAAAATTGAACCATATGTTAGTCCCGGAATGACGTAGTTTGTGTTGAGTGGATGGTAAACCCCATTTTTCTCTCTCCCCCACTTTGAATAATCTTACTGACTTTCGAAACAATCCTATACCATGTTTGCAAGCTTTCACAAGTCCAAATGTAAAAGAGGGTTGGATAGCCGAATGGTTAGCGCATGCGCTTTGTATCATAAGGTCTGTCATAGAGTCAATTGGCCTGGTTTCGATTCTCCAGTGGTACATGACAAGGAGTAGGGTCGCCGGTCCATCCTCGTGGGTTTTCTCCGGGTTCTCCGGTTTCTTCCCACTGCTAAAGACCCCTACATGCAAGCAAATTATAGAAATAAAATTGTGTCCAGTGGATGTTAAACCCCATTTCTCTCACTCTCTCCAAATGTAAAATGGGAGAAAACTCTAGCTGAAGCATAGAAAATTTAGATTTTCTATAGACTGCTCCTTTAAATTATTAACTAGAGCGTAGCAATTGTTTTTGATCTATTCATTATCATAAATAAAGAATGAAGCCATGTCAAGTGTTCATATATTCAATATTGATTCAATATAGTACTGGTAATTGACAAACCATGATCTCTTTCCGTTTTCTTTCATCTAGTCACACATGACAGATAATCAATAAAAAATCATTACAGAAGATAGGTAAATATATATATATCTAAAAGTTAATACAAGCACACATGCAAGGCTTCATTAAGAGATTTTCAAGGCAGTCACGAAAAAAGAAACACCTTTAGAAGAACAGTTTTATTTTTATCATATAGGCCCACACACAATTGCCCGGCCTAAAATATTCAGTAAGGGTACTTTTGGGTGTACGCATATATTGTAAATTCCTACATTTGACCTGAATTCTGGCATGTATGAGGCCTTAATATACATGCTATAATTGTAAGCATATCTTCAAACAAGAATAATTTTGCTGCCATTTGATTCAATTGCAAGAGATCGGTTCAGGAGATTCAAAAATGTATTGAGTACTATACTAATGTACCTGATGTCTTAATGAGAGAGAGAGAGGGAGAGGGAGAGAGGTTCAACTCCCCTCCAAACAAATTAGAAACAAATTGCGAAACTAATATATGGTTCAATATCAATTCAATAATTTGCTAGCGCGGTGGGATCTTTAGCTGTGTGACGAAACCGGAGATCTTCAAAGAAAAACCATGAGGTTGGACAGGTGGCCCTCCTCATTTTCACTTAAAAGCAGGGAATCGAAACCATGCCACTTGACTCAATGACAGACCTTATGATCTAAGGCGCATGCTTTAAACCATTCAGTCACCCCCACAATTAGATTGATAGAATTTTTGCTCTTTAAATTAATGATAGCATTATATTATATCTTTAAATAATTTTTGGGTTCACATACATGTATTGTAGATAAGTCAGATCTCATTAATAAGTTGTTATATAAAATCAGCTATAATTTGGTAAATATTTAATTCTGGGTTAATAACAAAATAACACATCTAACACTGTCCATACATGTATAAGCCGAATGACTAATCATTAAAATTAATTACGTCATATTTAACAAATAAGATAATTGATAGGCAAAACTTAAAGCTGAAAACTATCATATCTCTGGGCATAGCCGCTAGATTCAAGGAGAGAATATGTAGAAATTCCTATCAGCAGACTCCCAGCGAGTCTGGGTGGAATGGGATTGAGAGGATGACTTTATTGTAATCTATGCTCGTTTCTTATGTAACCAGTGCTTGATATATAAAACCTAAAAACGATCTGTTGCATTGTTATTCCTGGTAAGACAAGCGTCTTAACTAATACTAAGATAACCGTCTGAACAATGGAGATAAAAATATACACAATGTGAGTCCTAACAAGAGAATAAGAAACAAATACAACCAGAGACCGTAATAGACTACAAGGCTATCAAAATATGTAGCAGAGTACATGTATGTGTCACACGTTGGATTTGGGGAGTTTTTGTTTAATTGTACTTTCCACACTACACCCCTCATGGGTCTTAATACTTAGTGCTAAATTTGTTAGATCACTAAATTCACTTTTTAGACAAGGGTGCCTAGCATTATTCAACTTTTTGTATAAACCATTAACCTTCAGCAAAATTTGAAATGAAGTCTAGTAAATTAAGTAAATATCTTAATACCTTTCTGGGAAGGCAGATACGATCACAACAGGCACAGGTAATACAAGCGACAGTTGACTCGTTATTAGCACAACATGCACCCCAATCTGTTCTCTTACCCTGAAATATGTAAGTAATAAGTATATACATCTTAAAATAACTTGATATACATGTAGGAGATTGCAATTGATTGATGAATCAATTTGTAACAAGTCTATTGCAGGTGTTGTAAAGTTATGTCAGATTTCACACTTATATCAGTGATTGACCAAGTTAACCGTGAAATGCTTTATCACACTTATTAATTAACTGACTGTGTTAACTGTGAAATGTTTTATTAATCACACTGTTCAGTGATAGAACGTGTTAACTGTACAAAGTTTGATCACGATCTGTATCATTTACTCACTGAATGTTTTAACGATGCATTATGTAAGAGAAAAATCTGCCTATTGCAGGACTTTTGGCATCAAATTTTATATAAATTATTAAAGATACATTTATTCACATTACAAGCCTATAATCAACTCTCTAGATCATCGGATGGCCAAGATTGAAATGGATTTAAAAACCTGCATGATTTAAATTTAATGATAAAATGGATAATCAAGACTGGCTATGATAATAAACTATCTATGTTACATCTTGAAACAGTAATTGGAATGAAATTTTCAATATATTCATTTTCCATTATCTATTTTTAACTACATGTATTATACTCATAACAAGAACATCAAGCTCTTTATCCTAAATCTACATGTACATAATGCATGTTTAATTATACATGTACATGTAGTATATAAAAAGTTTTATCAACCTCTTTCAGTGATTGAATGTGTTAACTGTAAAAGGTTTTATCACTTTTGTATCACTGAGAATGTGTTTGTAAAATGTTTCATAAATCACACGTGTATCATTGAATAAATGTGCTAACTGTGAAAAGTTTTATTTACCTCAAATGTACAACAAACATCTGGTTTACCACAACAAGTACAGGTAATGGTGGAACATTGTTTACCACACTGAAATTAACATTATTTACATAAGACTTAGAGATACATTTATATACGTGTTGTACTGATATCTAGGGTTGTAACATTGAACTCCAATTTAACTCAATGAAAGCATATATTTATGTATTATCAACTTTTATACAGTCAAAATATTTCTGTGGATCCTGAATACGGTCACTACATTTGTAGTCTAGTTCTGCTGACATTTAATACAAATGGTTCATCAGTATCTGACTCTACTGAATTTTCTGGGAAAATGTGGAAAAAATATTGTGGACTTACGTAGCATCTGACCAAAGCAAAAATTATAAACATCAAAATAACATAACAAGCAACAGCAATAATAACTATAGCTGCTACAGGAAAACTTGCTCCTTCACCATCATTTAAGAAAGGTACAATGGCAGAACTGGGATCATTTGTATTCTGAAGAAAAAGAATCGTAAGTCTTTACTAATAACCTCAAATGAAAACAAAATAATAAATGAGCGCAAAATAAAATTGAAGGAAACGATGAGGTGTAGGGTAGAAAATATCAAAGCAAAACTGTCCCTGTCAAATCATTACCCTCAAGACACATTATCCCATTATTCAAGACTACTGTACCCAGTTTTAGTTAGGTATCTGCAGCTTCTTTAACTACAGTATGAGCAGCTGTCAGTCATGAAAATGCCCCTGAGTGGCTGGTAAATACAGACTCTATTGTAGCTTATATTATGTATGTGTTGCAGCGAGAGAGAGATATGGGGTTTAATGTCTATTCGACACAAACTAGGTCATTTTGGGACTAACATATGGTTCAATTCTATTTCAATAATTCGCTTGCGCATAGGGGTCTTTAGCAGTGGGAGGAAACCGGAGAAAACCCACGAGATTGGACAGGCGACCCTACTCCTTGTCACGTACAACTGGGGAATCGAAACCACGCCAGTTGACTAAATGACAGACCGTTTGATACAGCGCGCACATGCTAACCATTCGGCCATCCACCCCTCCATGTGTTGTAGCAGTCTGAATGGAAATGAAATGAAATGTGGTTTAACGTCCTACTCCGAACTGGGCTAATAAAGACGGGCATACGCCATACAGTGTGCTATGAGGGAAACTTTGCCAGGACAGCGGCACTACAGCCTACTCTTATATCAAATTCCAACTGTCAAGAGATCTTTTACGTGCATGTCATGTGTACACAGGACCTCAGTTTTCCATCCTGTCCGAATAACTAGACAGCTGTCCTTGTCAGGCCCTTGGTCCTGCATCACTAAAAAGGGGAAACCACACTGGAAAATCTGGATGCACTTTCTCGGCCAATGCAGGGATAGAACACCTGACCTCCAGGCTGCTAGCCAGCCAGCGTCTTACCCACCGTGACCCTCAGTCTGAAAGGAGAAATATGATGGTCCAATGAGGAGTGAGTCTTAATATAATGATTATAATTCTATATATATTTGTACATAGATTATTTATACCGGTAATGTAGATATCAGTCTTCTTACCTGGTGCTGTTGTATCAATGGGTTGGTAGTCGACAAAGATGTATTCATTATGGAATTAATCTTGATAAATAATACTAGTACTCCTATTCTATCTTGAGCTTGAGCTATGGATCCATTTTGAGCATAATTTCTGTTCTTTCTATCCACTTAAAACCTGGTTTTACTTTGCTTGTTGTTACCGATACTGAAAGGAAATCTTTGAATGTCTGGATAGTAAGGACTTCTACAGTTTACATATGTAGGTGCTTTTGCCATTGTAAATCCAAATAATAACCAAATTACTGAAAAGTAAAAAAAAATGAAACTGAATGTGTTACAAGAACTCTAACCAGATATATTTTAATGAATAAAACCGGTTAATTCTGTGTTTAAAATCTCTTAAAGTGCTTGCTACATAAGTACTTCAATGCAAATATCTGAAGCTCTGTGACAAAGAAACAAACAATTTTATATTATAGGCCACAGGTTTAAACAATGTCAGCTGTACTATCTGGATAAGCTTGTCATAATTACAATAAAACTTGCTGTAAATGTATTTGCACAAAGAATTAGCTACAATTTGAGTTATGCAAATTTGGTGATCATATTCGTATGATTCAATATTTTGGGCTGAAACTTTCATGCACAGTAAATCACCTATTTTTTTAAAATTAGTGGCCATATTTAAATGTACTTTAAAAATTATCACTGAATATGCCTACTCTGAGAAACCAAGGACTGTTCGTTTAAGGCCTATACACTCTTCATCACTGCGGGGACAATTCAAATCTATCTAATTGTTGCATAACTGTAATATTCAAGGGATTATAAAGCTTATAAAAATCTTCAGTACACTACTCCGTTTCTGATTACAGTGGGTATAGGGCCTATAAGGTTACAATGATAAGTAATTTTAAGTAAGCTTATTGTAAGCAAATCAAACAGGTAATCGTATTACATTTTGTACAGTAGCCTAGGCCTACTCAGATTTTTGCTCAGTATACTAAACAATTCAGAAAACTTTCACAAAGGTAAAAATATAAGAAACTGTAGAATAGTTGCCACTTGTATTTGCTAAAGTCATCCCAAATTATGTTGAATACTATCAATTTCATCCAATAAAAATGGGAACCCCACCCTCTCCCAAACCACAGGAATCTGACCTTTCATCCGTATGCATACACCATACTCAACTAGACAATATGTTTTTTCTTTCAATCTAGCCATTTTGGTTTGCATAAATACCAAAAAATTACTATCCCACATAAGGATATCATAGCCAATTTTCGTTCGTTAACGCTTGTCACCGACTCCATGCGCTAACGTCACACAAAATCGATCCGCAGTGAATAGACCATTGAAACAAGGGCCAAAGATGTTTTTAGTTTTTATCTCCCTTTTAATTAAAATCCACCTTTTGCATGGTGATTTTTGTTGACTTTTGGTTGTAGAATCGAAGAAGAAGGTTTAAATATGTATTTTCTGCCAGGTTTTGGTGAATATTCATGATTTTGAGGCGGAAGGATACAAGACTTCAGAGGTTGGTTAGGTTTTTCTGTGACGTCAGCGCATGGAGTCAATGACAAGCGTTAACGAACGAAAATAATGTAAATATTGGAAACAAGTGGCTATGATATCTTTTTGTGGGGAGTATTTACGCAAATCAAAATGACTAGATTGAATAAAAAACATATCTGAGTGAATCGACAGAGGCTTGATTGCCTGACATTACTAATTGTTGAAAATTACTAAGCGAGAGCAGGTAAAATCGAGGCCTCAACAAGCATTGCATTCCTGTTCTTTTTTTTATCATATAGGCCTATACGCTAGTTCGGTGTATGCATATATATGGATGAAAGGTCAGATTCCTGTGCCCAAACAAACACTCTCTCAGAATTTTTGAAGAAAACTCTGTACAGGATTTATAAGGGAAAGTTAAACTTGGGCTATAAATAACTCTTGAAAAAGTCTACCATAATTAATGGAAATTGTTGAAATACAAATGGCTTCTTCGTTTCATTAATTTGAATAAAAAATAAAGCAATATAACTTTCAAACAGATTAAATGAATTCACAACATTCTACAAAGTGAAACAAGGGCCATTTTGAAATTTAATACAATTGTCAATTCCTCATCTAACCAATAATTAAACTTGGGCTATAAATAACTCTTGAAAAAGTCTACCATAATTAATGGAAATTGTTGAAATACAAATGGCTTCTTCGTTTCATTAATTTGAATAAAAAATAAAGCAATATAACTTTCAAACAGATTAAATGAATTCACAACATTCTACAAAGTGAAACAAGGGCCATTTTGAAATTTAATACAATTGTCAATTCCTCATCTAACCAATAATTAAAAAAGAACAATTGCATATTTTTCTGTTCATAAGAAATTGTGGGCCCGTACCATATACATGTATGACCAAATTTGAATGTGGGCCTATAATATCTAAGCCTATCACTCAGACACAAGGGCCACAGAGCTGGACACTTTTTAGCAGAACTGTTCATGATCCTAAAAAGGTTGGCCTACCGGTATCATTCATATGATTTCCCGTCTAATACTAGTCTAATCAAATTTCAATCCTAATTTCTAAACCCTATCAATAAAAAATGTCCAACCATAACTATAAATGCACAAATATACCGAGCCGCCTTCGCTTATATTTATAGGATGGAAGTAAGTAACTTACTGTCGTGGCACTGACGAATGGAGAAATTCCTGCTTTTTTATGTTGAAAGAAGAAAAATCGAAGAAACAGAACTTTTTGACTTTTTACAAAAACGCGTCACACTACAAGATCATTGTACAACTTACTGATCGAATACATGTATAATAGTCTAATTCTTCTTGTACTATAAACCCGTTTGTATTACAAAAGCATAAATATAGGTTAGTATTAAATACCTACCACTATTATACACGAACTAGTAATAATACGCTGACAACAGTACAGATTCTCCATGCTTGAAGAATGTGTCACGTGACATTTGTTTGTAGCAAACTGGTCGATGCAAGCAATTTTAAAAGGGAGACAACTTCATTTAAAAAAAAAAAAATCTAAAAGGCAGCTTTTCTTTTATATTATTACACATTCTTTCGAGATACCCCCCCCCCAAAAAAAAATAATAAAATAAAAACATTACAGATTGTCTTATGTGTAGGTCTTTTGGAAAAACGATTATTCAACCTAGAAATGTAGGCCTACAATTTAATCTAATCTTTGTAATTCTGTGCACTGTTGTCTTTCTCAAACCAGAATTTGTACAGTTTGAAATGTTTTATGGATAATATTTATGTAGGCCTATCTGTCAGTCTTTCTGGTTTCTTTTAAGCAAATAATAGTACTAGTAGGCTACATTAACCACTTCTCAGCTGCTGCCAATAGGTAAATCACTGAGGCTCGGTGAGTAAGGCTCTGGTTCATGAACCAGGAGGTCCCGGGAACGATCCTGGTTCCCCCCCACCTCATCAATGATGTAGTATATATGGAGGAACACTAGTCTACCTAGTCAGTCAGGTGTAATGGAAAACTGAAATAAGCATACAGTGTACATATTTACAAATAGAATTCAATGACAAGTTGTTCGGGCAAAATTTTGATCATAGCACACTGCATGACGTATATACCTGTCTTATAGACTGGTTGGCGCAGAAATAAAAGATGTTGATTAAACTGGCTCTTCAAGGATAAGATGTATCATTTAGGTATATGTTTTGAATGATATTCAGATGGTCAAATTTTCATGTCCTTGCCTTACTACATAAAAGATAAATCTGCAAACAATTGGTAAGCAAATAGTAACATTAAAACAAACTGATCATTTTGTTTCACAATAACAGTTTAATTTCCACAATACAGATATTAGTATATCTGCAGACATTTTGTTTTTTTTACAATGTTCATGTTGTTTAACATTTGTTTATCACTAGTTTAAAGGTAGCCATGGTGACCATTGAAAAGTACAATGAAAGGCGAGGAGCCAACCTTGTCCAATGAAAAAAAAAAATAATAAACAGAGGTTTTACTTCCGATGAACCCTGGTCAGTCTTCGATATTGAAAGAAATTGATGTCAAATAAAGAGTTTTGTGATCTAGTATCTGGCAACACTGCTTGTAACCTGGTAAATATTTTTAAAGATATGATTAGGAACCACTGTTTTTAATTCTGGGTTGTAAATACAAATGTATAGAATTTTAAAGATTTTAATAACTCTTTTCATGTACAACAAAATAAACAGGTCTAGTGGTGACAACTCCAGATAAAACCTCCTTCCCGATTCTTATATACGATGTTTGTCTTTTTTTCAATATTACAAATCTCGGTTGTTTCAAATTGAAACATAAACAACTAATAATATATAAATGTCTATTGTCTATCTGTATAAATAATCAGCCTGTAGATTGGCTGCGATTTCTATTTCCCATTTATCACCATTATTTAACAATTTTTCTTTATTATACAATAATTCTTCTCTGGTTTCTGTAGCATACTCGAAATTAGGACCCTAAAACAAAACAAATATCTTCATAAAGATTTACATCATAGAATACTGAAGAGTAATATTCTTTTCTTGGAGACATACTGTCTATCCAAGGTCATAGTACACTGCCTCCTACAAACCCCAGATTGAAAGATAGGTTGCCAGGCAACGAAACATACGCCCACAGTAGCTAAATCGTCCGGGCAGTCAACAAGGGTTGTCGCATATTTTTACTTTTTTCGGTAATGAAACATTTATAATACACTAAACTATTAGAATTTGTTTGGTTTTTATAAAGTTCAGCCCCATGCTAACGTTTTGTATGCAAAGCTTTTAATATCATGGATTTAACTGTTCAAGTCATAAAAATTCATTGAAAATCAATATACTTGTTCGTCTCAAAATCTTAAACTCTGTGTATCAATCTGAAGTCAATCGGATGATAACTTTAGCCTTTAGAGCGTCACAAGATTTTGCAAAGTGATCAAGGGCCAAAACTTTGGCAGTAATTATCGGAAATCGTTGAAAATCAATACGATTCTTCGTCTCATGACCTCAAACACTGTGTATAAATTTAAACTCAATCGGATATTAACTTTAGCCTCTAGAGCATCCACAAGATTTTTTGAAGTGATCAAGGGCCATAACTCTGGCAGTAATTATCGGAAATCGCTGAAAATCAATAGGCTGCTTTGTCTCATGACCTTAAACACTGTGTTTAAATTTAAAGTCAATAGGATATTAACTTTGGCCTCTAGAGCATCCACAAGATTTTTCAAAGTGATCAAGGGCCATAACTCTGGAAGCAAATATTGGAAATCGCTGAAAATCAATAGGTTTCTTTGTCTCATGACCTTAAACATTGTGTATAAATTTAAAGTCAATCGGATATTAACTTTGGCCTTTAAAGCATCCACAAGATTTTTTGAAGTGATCAAGGGCCATAACTCTGGCAGTAATTATCGGAAATCGCTGAAAATCAATAGGCTTCTTCGTCTCATGACCTTAAACACTGTGTATAAATTTAAAGTCCATCGGATATTAAAGGGACAATAACACTCTTCTTGCTGGCTTGAAAGCTCCAGAAAATAAATAATATCCTTATCTAAGTACTAGATGTTTAAGTGTCCTACCTGTTGTGTAAATTATCCATTACATCCTATTTTACTTGTCCAGAGGGTTCGAAAATATTTTTAAATCCAAGTTTCATTTGAAAAGGTTTACGTTAGACGTTTCAAACCATTAAGTTGAATTTTTCAATTTTTTTAAATAAGGTATGTTAAGATGAAATTCGTATCATCAATTTATTGAAATATTGTAAAATAGTACAATTAGTTGACGGGAATAAAGATTGGGACATATTATTCAGTTACAACAAGAGTGGTATTGAGCCTTTAACTTTGGCCTTCAGAGCGTCCACAAGATTTTTTGAAGTGATCAAGGGCCATAACTCTGGCAGTAATTATCGGAAATCGTTGAAAATCAATAGGCGGCTTCGTCTCATGACCTCAAACACTGTGTATAAATTTAAGGTCAATTGGATATTAACTTTGCCCTCTAGAGCGTCCACAAGATTTTTCAAAGTGATCAAGGGCCATAACTCTGGCAGTAATTATCGGAAATCGCTGAAAATCAATAGGCTTCTTCGTCTCAAGACCTTAAACACTGTGTATAAATTTAAAGTCAATCAGATATTAACTTTAGCCTCTAGAGCTTATGGACACCGGACCGCCGGACGGACGGGGCGACGACAATATACGACCACATTTCAATGTGGGCGTATAAAAATTTGGTTGCTCTTTTTTGGAAATCCTGCATATGCCAGGACTGATGTCTACTACTAAAACTTTGACTCTGCTTGGGGCATTTCAAGATGATTTCTGTCAGAAAATTATGTTCAATAAGCATAATCAATATAATATGATTGACTTGGTTGCCAAGAATATTGTTAAATGCTAAGGACTTTAAGATAAACCACATGGAGGAATTACATGTCAGAAAAATAGATTTTCTCAGAAAATGACAAGGAAATAATGATATCATTTGTTTTGATAAAAGGTGCTCTATATTATTTTCTTGTTTGCATCTAAAAATGTAGAGTAGAAACGAAGATTTGTGTATGTTGTATCGTCTCTCGGAGGAAACTATCTTGATACATGATACACCAGTTAACAACACTACTTCTTTTATGAATCATCAGTTAAGAACATACTAGTGCATCAAATTTCTACAATTTACAATGTCAATACAAGACAAATACAGATTTTCAAGATACATGTGGATTGTAGAAGATGCACTGTATTGGTTATGTCACAAAAATTACTGAGGATATTTGAAATCTCTGGAATCTTGCTAACATAAAATTTAAATATATGGAAATCAACAGTTGTTTTTGTTAAACTGTGTTTCAATTTAAATTTGGGGCGTTTCTGTGTTTCTACTTGTCTGCGCATGAAATCGGTGAGGTCACAAAAAAAGTTACTGAGAATACTTGAAGTCACTGGAATGTTGCAATCACGAAATTTAAATATGGAATTCAACAATTCTTTTAAAACTGTGATTCGATGTGAGTTAGGGCATTTCTGTCTAGGTCAAATATGAAAAAGGTGAGGTCACAAAAAAGTAACTAAGAATATTTGAAGTCCCTGGAATCTTGCGATTTGAATTTAAGGCGTTTCTGTGTAGGTCTACTGGTCTGACCCCCTCACATTCATATTTGCATTAAAAATAATCTACCTCAACAATAGCATCAACTGGACAGGCTTCTTGACAGAAACCACAATAAATACATTTTGTCATATCTATATCATATCTTGTCGTACGTCTGCTACCATCTGCTCGTGTTTCAGCTTCAATCGTGATAGCCTAAAAAGAACAAGCCAACAGTGAGGCTGATGTCCCCCGCCGAAATAGGAAAATAATTAGAGGACACATATAAATTTATCACAAATTATCTTTTACAAAGTATTAAACAATCAAACAGTATATCTTTACTTATAGTCTAACAATCAAAGTAGGAGAGTTATTGTTTTCCAAAGTCTCGACCAATCAAATTGCGTATCGCTCTGCTTACCCTGAGCAGAAAATGCTCATTATCAAACTTAGTCAAGGTATTACTGTAATGAAACTATACACCAAGTTTCATCAATCTCACTTAATTAGAACTAAAGTTATCGTGTCCCAAAGCATCAACCAATCAAATTGCTTATCTCTGCTTACCCTAAGCGGAAAATGCTCATCTTCGAACTCCATCAAGGCATTGACCTAATCAACACATACACCAAGTTTGAACATTCTAGCTCAATTAGGAAGAGAGTTATCGTGCCCCAAAGTATCAACCAATCAAATTGCTGCTTACCCTGAGCAGAAAATGCTCATTATCAAACTTAGTCAAGGTATTACTGTAATGAAACTATACACCAAGTTTCATCAATCTCACTTAATTAGAACTAAAGTTATCGTGTCCCAAAGCATCAACCAATCAAATTGCTTATCTCTGCTTACCCTAATCGGAAAATGCTCATCTTCGAACTCCATCAAGGCATTGACCTAATCAACACATACACCAAGTTTGAACATTCTAGCTCAATTAGGAAGAGAGTTATCGTGCCCCAAAGTATCAACCAATCAAATTGCTTATCTCTGCTTACCCTAAGTGGAAAATGCTCATCTTCGAACTCCATCAAGGCATTGACCTAATAAACACATACACCAAGTTTGAACATTCTAGCTCAATTAAAAGTTATCGTGTCCCAAAGCATCAACCAATCAAATTGCTTATCTCTGCTTACCCTAAGCAGAAAATGCTCATCTTCGAACTCCATCAAGGCATTGACCTAATCAACACATACACCAAGTTTGAACATTCTAGCCCAATTAGGAAGAGAGTTATCGTGTCCCAAAGCATCAACCAATCAAATTGCTTATCTCTGCTTACCCTAAGCGGAAAATGCTCATCTTCGAACTCCATCAAGGCATTGACCTAATAAACACATACACCAAGTTTGAACATTCTAGCTCAATTAGGAAGAGAGTTATTGTGTCCCAAAAAGTGTGACGGACAGACAGACAGACGGACGGACAGACGGACAGACAGACGGACGGACAGACGGACAGACAGACGGACAGACAGACGGACGAACCCATTTTAATAGTCCCCTGCTTTCTTCGAAAGGCGGGGGACAACAAAATGGAAAGATTGGAGAAAATAGGATTGGGTGATGGATACTGGACTAACCCTATCAGTTATAATTTGTTGTTCAAGTGTTCATACACGAGTCATAGACATTAATAATACAAATTCATTAAAGTAAATAAAGAAGAGCTTCCTAACCATCTAAGGAAAGTCAGGATTACATTCACAGCCTACATTTTGTGTAACATTCCTTGAATTCCCACCTTTGTTTATTCATTATATCTGTACATTTTAAAAACTAAGTATTTTAATCAACCTTTACACGTGCAATGTGAGGTGCAATTATCAGCGATGTTATGAGCGTTTAAAGGTTTGACAAGATCTAACATCGGTTTTATCCATTTTATCGTTAACTTTTAAAATCTTTGCGGATGTTCTAATCTATTTGAATGTCTGCCATCCGATGGTCTAGAGAGCTGATTATAGGTTTGAAATGTAAATAAATATCTAAATAATAGTTTTTATAATATTTGAAGCCAAAATAAAGACCTGAAATATGCAGATGTAGGTCTTACATAATGCATCTTTAAATCAAGTTCCTAACTGTGGCTATGAATAATGGAAAATTGTGGTTTCAAGGTTCAACTAACCTGAGCAGGACAGATAGCTTCACACAATTTACAGGCTATACATCTTTCTTCTCCTGATGGATATCTTCGAAGCGCATGTTCACCACGAAATCTAGGGCTCAATGGACCTTTCTCAAATGGATAATTAATTGTTGCTGGTTCCTTGAACATCATTGCCAATGTGATTCCCATACCTTGGATAACAATCCACAATAATTACAAAAGTGAACTAGTACTTAAAGACACAGTATACATGTATACCACAATGTTCAATTGCATAACAACAATTAAAATTAAAATAGTGAATAAAGTCATCTTGTTTGTATAAAACTTTAATTTTACTTTTATTAAAAAACTCAAATTGATACTGTAAATGTAGTAGACTAATTTTACATTAGACATAATGTGTCAAAATATGAGCTCATGAAATACGAAATTGATGCTGTCTGCCTACAATGAGCTTTGCTTAAGAAGAGACACAAAGCTAACTGATCAACATTTTAATTCCCATTTTGATGATTTAGTCAAAAACACTAAGTATACTTTGAGAATTTTCAGAAATATTTATTCCGATTGAAATTGAAAATGTTTATGTAGATTTTATATGTATAAAACAGATCAAAACCACATAATTTATCAGAATGATATTTTTTCAATATGGTGACCATTTAAGACAGAGATCTATTCTGAAAGTAGGTAGTTCTCTGTGTGAAGAAAATAACATTCAGTTTCATGTCACTAATTCCAACCAGACCAAGTATTTTTGCACACAATACATACCTCTGATGAGCTCTACAGCAAATGCTGTATTAGCAGATCTATCAGCCAAACTGGCCCAATCCATTTTCTTAGGCTGTTCACCAACATCCTCTGAAATAATCATTAATTTTTTTTATCAGAATATTTAAGTTTAACATCTTGTATCATTTAGTAAAAGTCTGAAAATTATATGAATTGGCACATTCACTGGTACATTCTATTGTGTACTAGCAAGGGTTAGAAATCATTATCTGTGATACATATAGCTCTGTGCTGAAGTGGATATTAAGGCCATACAAAAAAATATCCTGGTTCTCAGTAAATCCTTACTGAAAAAATGATGTGGGAGAATTTTTTTTTTTTGTGTATTTATTTTGTCAAAGGGTCGCTACTGGGCTAAATGACTTCTCATAAACATTGTATTTCACCTCAAGGCTCAAGGTACTACTATTATTTCATCCTGAGATGCACATGAAAAACCCAATATTCACGTGCAGCATTGTGTGTGAGCCTTTTAAAACCATGTTTTCAACTTAATGTGCAGTACATGAACTGTGAAACGTCAATCTGTCGTAATTTGTTGTTGGACGTGTGAAGGAATCGAGCTAGAGATGCCGAGACTTACTGAAAATCAACGGAATGAAGCCATGGGAATGTCCCGGGCTGGCATGTCTATACGTGCTATTGCCAGACACTTCAATTGTCATCAGTCCACTATTGTAAGGTTGGTAAGACGTGTTCGAGTTACTGGATCAACACGTGACCGTCAACGTCCTGGTCCACAACGCGTTACAACCCAGGCTCAAGACCGCTACATCCGGGTCACTCATCTGCGTGACAGATTCCGCCCAGCGACTCGAACAGGTGCAGCAGTTGTCGGAAGACAAGGACCAGTAAGTGCCAACACCGTAAGACGTCGTCTAAGAGAAGTAGGACTCCGTGCACGACGACCTTATGTTGGAGCTATCCTCGGGGATCATCACCGTCAGCGGTGTTTGATATGGGCTCAAGGACACCAGACATGGAGAAAAGTAGACTGGCAAAATGTGCTCTTCAGTGATGAGAGTCGCTTTCATCTTTATCACGCTGATGGCCGTCAATGTGTAATGGTGTGGGGAGGCTTCACATTTTATCACCGGACTGCCCTACACATTTGCAGGGGATGCGTTCATGCTCTGGCCTACCGTGATGATGGCCTGTGGAGGACACACGCGCTACTGACATCTGTGTCGTACTTTTGGTTTTGACCCCTCTGACTTTGTACCCTTGATTACAGATTAAACATCCATAAGTGTACAAATGTGTTGTTATTGATGTGTTCCCACTTGAATATTGTTCACAAAAAGAAGCAAAATAAATAAGATATGTTTACAGGATCATTTTGTTATACGAAAAACTAAGTGATGCGTTTTCCATGGCGCTCAGTATATGTGTGATCATCCAGTATCATTTACGATTGTTAGTATCATTTATCAGCGTTGTGTACTTGATAAATGAGCCTATGCCACATTTCAGGATTCATTCAAATATTTTTTTACATACACATGTACTTTTTATGGAAGGGTATCACTGCCAATATTAAATGCTCTGCTACAATGTCTTTTCTATTGATTATATGTAAAAAGTACAATGTACAAAGTCTTAATACCGGTAATGATAAAGTCAAAATACCTCTAAGGCAAGAGTTAAATGTAAAACGTCAAGTGTTAAGTGTTAAATGACAAATGTTTTGTGGGAAAATTCTTTTTTTGACGTGTCTACATTTTACATTTCTCTCATTACATTTTACATTTGCGCGCTGCCACATCCCATTTGTCCTTTACCCTTTCTACATAGCAACTTTTGCACAGCATCAACTTGCATATGCAAATGTAGGATATCACGTGACTTATTAACATATATGGAAACCCGGCACAAGCACACTATAAGGATATTCACCGCACGACAAAAGAAATCAAGCTGACACACCATAAGAAACTATCTAGACGACCGTGCGTAATTTTGAATGTGCCAGGAAATAATTGATAGATTCAATCAGCCAAAGAAACATACTTTTTCCAGTAATTTATAACACAACTGGAATTTCGTATTAATACCCGTATTTTTATATTTTAAACACCCCCACTCTTTCCGGTCTCTCTAAAAACAGAGTTGAGTAGCCTACTTTGATCCATTAAAAAAACAACAATATATAAGCATTGTGCCCAACAAAAAAATAATATATTTAAAGAGAGGAATGACTATACATCTTTTAGTATGGACATAGAGAATTTTTGATTAAGCCCTGTATCTTTATTTTAGTTTAGTTCCCCCCCCCCTTCCTTCACATCAACTTTAATCTTATTTTGTAAATATGATTGTGCCAGAAAATTATTTGCATATTTGAAAAGAGCAATCAGTGATACTTAACATGGTATCTGGAATTTCGTATTTAGACCAGTATTTTTACTTGAATACCCCTTTAATAGTGTGATATTTATTGGATTTAAATTATGAAAATACGATTGTACCAGAAAACTATTTACATATTTACAAACAGAAATGAATGTGATTTTCACTAATATGTAACATGATACCTAAAAATTTCGTATTTGGACATTGCACAGCCCCCCATTTTGTCATGGTCCGATTTTCATGATTTTTCGTACAATCAGGGACCATAATCCATGAAGTTACAGTACGATACATGCCAATATCAAAAGAATCGAGATCTTTTGGAGATAAACCGATATTTCAAGTTTTGTACAAATCGGATACAAATTGTGAATTGTAGATTGTCCACAAACAAATTGAGCACAGATGTCTGGACAAATAGGGGCGACGACAATATGAAAATGTGGGCATATAAAAATGATGAAGTGAACTCACTCCAAGTAGATCTGGATTGAATGGCTGTTGTTGGTCTAATCACATGCTTTAAAACGCTGTCAACTGAAAAATAAAACATAACTAAAACTTTACCATCTTTTTATTTAAAAATGAAATGAAATGAAATGGGGTTTAACGTCCTACTGTTTTGCTCCGAACTGGGCTAATGAAGACGGGCATACGCCATACAGTGTGTTATGACGGAAATTTTGCCCGGACAGTGGCACTACGGCCTACTCTTATATCGAATTCCAACTGTCAAGGGATCTTTTACGTGCACGTCAATGTGTACACGCGACCTCGGTGTTTCGCCCCATCCGAACGACTAGACAGCTTTCCTTGTCAGCCCCTCCGTCCTGCATCACTGACAAGGGAGAACCACGCCGGAAAATCTGGATGAACTTTCTCGGCCAATGCAGGGATCGAACACCCGACCTCCAGGCTAGCGAGCCAGCGTCTTACCCACTTAGCCACCGTGATCCCCTTTTTATTTAAGGACAAATTAATATCAGTACTTATCACTATCTGATGGGACAATGAGTATCACCGTGACTGATTGTTCAGTGATTGGAGACAGAGAGAAATGGGGTTTAACGTCCACTCGACACAAACTAGGTCATTTCGGGACTAATCAGTGATTGTACTTATGTCCCAATATTACACACTGATCAGCAGTGAATATTCGCCAAGAGGCTACAATCACTGATACGGATGACATCGATGCGACTTACTAAGCCACAAATATTAACTTTTTTCCTATGACAAATTCTATAACATTTTTGTTATGTATTATAAAAATAAATAAAGACCTTTGATGTATTTGTAGGATTAATTATATGCTTAATTGTAGTTGGGTGTGGCAGAAATATTATAAATCACAATAACCAATCGTTGTTTTGATTAAAAATATTGTCAGTTTTGTTTACAAATGCCGGGTGCGAATCACTTCCGCATGTGCTACATTGAAGGTAATAGCATCATCTCTTATCTCGAAATACGGAGGGTTGAGAGATAAGGTTTGTTATCTAAGAGTAAGAGGACATTGTACGATCAGAGGCTGTTCCTAAAGGAACTAATTTATTCGAAACGATAGAATTGGGTTTAAACATAATTATTATTGCTAAAATCTGAGAACATTTAGATAACTCTGACTTAATTACAAAATTTATTGACACACGCCGAATCGTGTCTAAAAGATTTCGACTTTCACTTTTTGTCTTTTCTCGTTAAAGGCAAGGTCATAATTGTCATCGGGCTCAATCAATCACTTGTCGCATGCCAACTTGTTTAAATAGGTTACTATATGGTTTGCGAAGAATAACTGCAATATACAAAGCATATTTTACAGTCTACGTCTACCCAGTTACAACTTACCCGTTTTTCTTGCACAAAACAGTTTCAAGGTAGCCATCTTATCATAAACTAAAAGGGAGTTAACTCTAATATTCTTTGGTTCACAGGGACTTGTGACAGGGCACGCTTGTATTTTTGATTTTGGTGCTGACTCAAATGTAGGCGCATTGGAGGTTTCTCGAATAAGGGGTGGACAAAAGTCTAATCTGAACAACAACACAGAAACCAATGAATAAAATGTTTGGGCACTTCATGGAAATAATAAGTTAAGTCTCGATTGCGTCGATGCGCAATTGCAATATAACTCGACACTAGTAGATTATTGTGAAAGTCGATCGAGTCTCTGATAAACATAATCAGTATATATAATGGTTCAGTTCTGTTCAGTATTTACAAAGATTGTTCGTTCGTTTCTAGAGTTTTACGTCCACTTCCACCTAAGGTGATATCGTAGACAAAGATATGTGAAATTGATATATATATATATATATATCATCGATCTATACTGCTCGCTATGCAATAAGCCAGGCACCATTCTGTTATCCATGAAAATTTAATAATAGGCCTGTTTTAAATCCGATTAAATCCAAGCCATTAGGCTATCTATATCGTTGGTATTTTGATTTTGTTTTCTTAATTAAATGTTAAATAATCAATCTGAATACATATTAGTGTTTCTTAAGCCGTGAGAAATTTTATATTTTAGCGATAATACCAATGGCGCGACGACAATGTTTTACAATATAACTGTACATAGACTAAATAGTAGATATAATAATGACATCATCGATATTCAAATATAGCATTCCTTACAAAATAGGCTATATTCTGTATTCTATATTCTGCTAATACTGTGTGGAGGACTCAGTCCCATTTCTTTTTGATTTCATGCATCAATCAATCATAAATAAATTACACGTATTGTAATAATATTACATCTTTATGGATTTACTACTCCTGGTTGTATTGCATGCAACGTTTCAATACTCTTACATTTATCAAACAATGATCAACAATGGTTAGAACCATATTTATATTATTAACATAAGTAATGCCATTAAAAAAAAAAATATCACAAATCAACAAGAGTATATCCCAGTAACAACAATAAAAGTTGATTCCTTTCTGTTTTGACACTGTAGATGCTCTGCCCTTTCTTTCACTTCTCTCATTTATAAACACTCCTGGCAGGGAGAGAGAGAGAGAGAGTGGGAGAGAGAGAGAGAGAGAAATGGGGTTTAACGTCCACTCGACACAAACTAGGTCATTTCGGGACTAACATATGGTTTTTAATTTCATTTCAATAATTAGCTTGCGCGTAGGGGTCTTTAGCAGTGGGAGGAAACCGGAGGGCCCGGAGAAACCCACGAGGTTGGATAGGCGACCCTACTCCTTGTCACGTACAACCGGGGATTGGAAACCACGCCAGCTGACTCAATGCTAGGTCTTATGATACAGCACGCACGTGCTTACCATTCGGCCATCTAACCCCCTCCTGCCAGAGTATTGAAACATTGCATGAAATAATTCAATAATTCGCTTGCACGTATGGGTCTTTAGCTGTGGGAGCAAACCGGAGGACTCGGAGAAAACCCACGAGGATGGACAGGTGACCCTACTCCTTGTCACGAACAGGCGGAGAATCAAAACCACGCCACTAGTCACAATGATAGGCCTTATGATCTAACGCGCACCACCCCCGCCCCCACTCCCCCGCATGACAAAAAGCCCGGAGTAGTAATTTAAGGTCCATATCTACTTTAATTCAAAATGTCATTCAAGAATGTTACCTGGCTGGGGGATTTCCGTCGATAAACTCACGAGAGCCCATGTGTAGTGTCTGGCACTTAACATAGTAAATTCGTAAAACAACCGCGCTTAAGATCGTCAATTTGTTAATCTAAAGTAAACAGGTGACTTGAAAGATGTCTAACGGTTACGTAAATCTGAATCATTTTTGGTGGCGATAGCGTTCCATATTCATCAACATTTACTGTTAGGCTACCTATCACGAGTCTTGCATAACAGGATCAAAAATGTCAACGGTGGTAGCAAGACGTGTAGCTGCAGTTTGTGGGGTATTTGTGGGGGATGCCGCAGGTAAACATGTTTCTATGTTGGCTAAAATTTACATTTGTATAATGCACGCGTCTGGTGACTCTGGTCGCCATGTTAGACAGGTGATCAATAAGCGCGTTCGTGCAATACTGTTCTCACATTTACGTTCGTCTGCAACAGACTTCGTTCATAGATTATATGCTGAGGGCGATGAATGAGTGTTAAACATCATTTTCACTGAAGAAGTTATTCAATTCATTCCCAGCCATTCGATACGCAACATTTCAAGTTAATAATGATAGTCAATTAATATAGAGTAGCCTACTGGGAACAAGACGATATTGTTATGCTTACTTAAAACGAAAATTGTATGTACCAAGTTTGAAGTCTTATTCAAGAAGTCAATACATGTATGTAAGCATAATATTGTATTCCGAGAAGCAGTGAAGTTCTTCAGTGACCTGTAGCCACTGTCTATTTAGCCTGTATATCTATAGGTAATAACAATGGGGTGACCTGATACCTGACCCACTTTTTAACATGACGTACAGGTTTGTTATTAGATATAGTAATTTTTATAAAGTTATTACCGTAAATGCTCCAAATAGAGAGCATGTTGACGCAGACGTATGTATGGCAGCAAGGCCCACGGGGGTGCAGCCGATAAATCGCTCCGGGTCCGTGAAGCCATAATCTAATTAATTATTTTTGCGTCGGCATAACCGATACGTGTCACAGAGCTCCTGAACCTATCCTCGATGCCCTGCTCTGGCTATGAGGAGTAAAGTTAGACACCACATTTTTGCATAGTCCGGGCAAAATTATCCTCATACACCACTACATGCCCACCTTCATTAGCCCCGTGGGTGTAGAAAATTAAAACGCTATAAACCCCATTTAATGTATAGTTATAGAATTAAACAGCGTTCACACACATCTATCTCACAAAAAAAAAACATGAATGGGGGCGAATCGTTATCGCGTGCGCGTTGTGTCATAAGGTCTGTCATTGAGTCAACTGGTGTGGTTTCGATTCCCCGGTTGTACGTGACAAAGAGTAGGGTCGCCTGCCCCACCTTGTGGGTTTTCTCCGGGTCTTCCGGTTTCCTCCTAGTGTTAAAGACCCCTACGCGGAAGTGAATTATTGAAATAAAACTGAACCATATGTTAGTCGCGAAATTACCTAGTTTGTGTCGAGTGGACGTTGAACCTCATTTCTCTCTCTGTATGTAATGTTTGTGCATGGTCGTTGGACTATAGCATGACTTTGCAAAATCATTGGATTAGCAACGCAGACCTAATCATTGATAACAAATGATAAAAAAAAATATATGTACTTAATGACTTAAGGTCAACGTTATTAAAGCCGTACTAAGTACTAAGTCGTTGTCTGTCATAGTATTAATATCCTATAACAGCAGCATAATTTGGCGGGTTTAACATGCCATAATATCTTGGTGAAGGCCCATTTCACACGCAACAGCTCGCTATGTACTTACACATAAAGCGTAAAAAGTCTAAACAGCGCGCCCCCTAATTTCCGGGCAATCAGAATTTTCAGGCAGACGGGTAAAGTGAAAGAAAAAATTAATGTATTTTTTGGGAATAGAACATATTATTTTGTACCCAAAATCCAATGACTTTTACGCGCTAATAAAACACTAATTTTATTTTCGTTTAAATGAATAGGGTGAATTTGAACTACATTGACTATGAATTAAAACGTTTTGTCTGGAGCCACTTTGTTGGGTGCGGCATTTTTCGGGCATCGATCTTTATCTGCTTCATCAATTTAAAATCAGTGTAATAAACAGTGTCGACAAAATTTGTTTTTCGGGCATCATAAATATTTTTATTTCGGAAAGTCAAATTCCTGGTGTCTGGTGAATGCAACTTCAGCAGTCTGATTGATTCGTTGACAGTAATTCAGGTCGGCAGAGTGGGTTTTCTGTTGAAGCTGTTTTACTCACAACTGGTATAGCAGGGAAAAGCGTTTGCAGTCGTCTAATAGACGAGAATTTTCAGGCATTAATTGTCGGGAAGTTAATTTCTAGTATGTCAGGTGAATGCAGCGTCAGCAGTCTGGTTGATTGGATTGGTTGATTGAATTCAGGTCGACAAAGATTGCGACTTATGTTGACAACCCATAGGCCCTATAAATAAGGACCGATTTGAATTTTTTATACTCTTGGTCTTATTATACTCCAGACATTGTACTCCGGAAAATAAATTTCTGGTATCTTATGGATACAGCTAAGCTACTCTAAATGATTGAAAATCAGACCAGCAATAAATTGACGACTTAGACGTTGTTGTACAAGTGGACTGGAATTGCGACCGTCTAAGTTTCATACTTTTCTCGGGGAGGCCCACCATAACTCTGGACAGAGCAATTTGCACCCTCGGATCTCACTGGCGACCGGCTTCGCATGTCCAGACTCGTGGACTGCAAGAGAGAATGTTTTCGGCATTTGACCTCATCCTCCAAAATCCCCTCGGTGCGCTTCGCGCCTGCGTTAGACCACAGGGTTACCAGACACCAATTACATGCTCTGGCATATCATTCCAACTGATAAAGAATTTCGAATTATGCGTGCTGATGTTTTTAATATTAAATCCCACTTTATGTATTATAGCTCAGCCACTTCATTGGATCTATGACCAGAAGAAATTAGATGATATCATTGGTCGAAAGGAAGAGGTAGAATTCTGGCCAACATCCCACAATGCATTCTATACCCTTAATACAGGCCAAAATAGTGGATACGGGGACCAACCTTACGTTATTTTAAAATCTCTTGTCGAAAATAAAGGTGAGTTGAGCGGTTCATGGAAAGAAGACATGAATGAATTTTGATTTTTACTTGTCCGATTTAACCAGAAGTGTAAAGGCAAAAGCTTCAAAATTCGGCGATCGTGGATTTGACTACGCAGTTCCGTCGGACATGTTCCAATTAAACCGCGTGTATAGTTTAAAAATTTATGCCAATCTACTGTTGATATATTTGCGTTTACAGATTCAATTTAGTGGTTTTCAGGGTTGCTTGTGCAAAAATCTGTTTTTAAATAATTTTTGTTAAGAGTATACATGTATAATTATATTACATTGATTAAACTGATGCTGTTTTAGGTGGTAATAATGCCCCATTAAGTGAATTACATGTACGTGAACTGTTTTAACTGTTAATATAAAACGCCTGGATTATGTTATCCCAGTTACATGTAATAATATTCTTCTCTTTATAGGTTTAAACATTACAGCTTTAAATAAAGCCACGGTAGATTTTTTTGGCCCAGGTACCGAATATGATAATCCTAACCGTCCTGGGGAAAAACCCATTCAGGGTCGTTGGTTACATAAATCACTGATGGATTTTCTACAGAATTATAAAGACGGTAAATCTGAAACAGGTGAGTACAACCCATCACGAGTGAAATGTATGCAAATCAGAGAGTTTAACGTCCACTCGACACAAACATATGGTTCAATTTTATTTCAATAATTCGCTTGCGCGTAGGGGTCTTTTGCAGTGGAAGGACACCGGAGGACCCGTAGAAAACCCACGAGGTTGGACAGGCGACCCTACTCCTTGTCAAGTACAACTGGGGAATCGAAACCACGCGCTAACCATTCGCCCCTCCCCCATACACGCACAGAGGGAAACTGGGCAGTGGTCCATGTATAAGGTGAATGATTTCATTACATGTCGATGCTTGGACTTTTCGTTAGTGATAATTGGAGATTCGATCGTTAATATATTGATTTTATTCTAGGATCAGCTGATAAAAGTGCTGATTGTTGTATTCGAATGGTACCGGTTGTAGCTCTATACGCTGGGCAACCCGATATGTTAGAGCGTGTTCGACAAGTTGTCCAGGTTACACAGAATGACGAGTTGTTGATTGCGGCAGCTTTGGCCGGAGCTAGGTAAACTACAAGTCAAATTATTATTACTTTAAATTATTGATCTTTCAAGTCTTCTCAAAATGGTTTCTCGGAATATTATTTATTTTCTCTGTTGTTCTAGGATTCTAGAAAACTTTATATTAAAGGGAAATAACCCATCAGCAGTTCAAGAAGTGATAATTGAGTTGTGTAAACCCACGCGTAAATCACCAACTGACCTCGACGAAAAGATGGTGGAGTGCCTTAAACAAGTATTAGAAGCAAAGGACTGTCCACATACAGAAGTCGCTGTTAAATTCGGACGCAACTGTTGTGAGTATTTTACATAGACATGTTGCTATAGCAAGTGAAGAGGTACATTCTTTTATTGTGGGAGGGGAGACATTTGGTGGTCAATCATGTTAGCTGACAAGACCGGTAAATTTCATGACCAGTCCAGTCAAGCAGTCAGATACCCATTGTTGTATCCCCATCCTTTTGGAGGTGAACTGATCCTGCATGCGCCACTCCCTTTTTACTCCTGATCAAAGATATAATATGTTATGGTGATCTGGGTACACACATATAAATGGATTCTTTAATTAATATGGAAGTCAGTAAGAGTTATGTATTGAATTGAATGACGCTGGGTATCCATTTATCGAAGAGGGGGGGGGGGGGCGAAGAGGTTTATCTTCTTTTACAGCATTTCTAAATGCTAACTCCAATGGAGAGGAAAAAATTTAATCGTAAGGGTATAATTAAATTGGAAAATTGGATGTTATTTATATGTTTCAGATGTACCGGGTAACTTACAGACTTCACTTCATGCTATTACTACAAATGATAATTTCCAATCAGCTGTGAGATCGACTATTAAAGCTGGCGGTTGCAACTCTTCGAGATCGGGATATATAGGAGCTTGTACAGCCGCTAAGGTTAGTTATAGATCAATATTGTATTACGATTCAAAAGTAGGCATTGAGTGAAAATTTCGCAAGTCGTAAACACGATTTATACTTCCAAAACACCATTTCGCCAAGCGTGGCAATCAACGCAGCAACAAGTTGCATGGACTTAATATGTGCCTCGATTCACAACTAATGCCGTGTTTGTTTGATGTCGAAAATTACTCGTTATCCATTTGCGAATAACATCACAAGTTTAATTATCTTGTTGTTAACTCTAAAGTACCCATTATCACAGTTACATGCAGGTCTAAACGATCATAGAATATACCCACTCTTCCCATCTACAAAATCTTGAATTCAAGTTCTGGTAAATTCTGGTGAAATTTTTGTCCTTGTTAAGTCTTTGGTTGACAATTATTCAAAAGACTGTGCGATAATGCCAGATGTACTACTATAGACAAATATTCTTTCTTGAGAAACGTCGGCGTTTTGCATTTCCGAAATTACGACAGGGTTAGAACTTAGCATAACTTAATTCGATTATTCAAGATTCAGGAAAGGCTTATTATGACATGATAGTCCGAATATGTTTGAATGTCTAAAAAAACGGCCCTAAACTCTTATTAAATTAGATACCATATAATGATGTGTTGTGGTTTTTTATTCAGTATGGTTTAGAAGCAGTTCCTGACGGTTGGAAGACTAAAACAGATAGATACCAGGAAGTTTTGAAACTAGCTCAAGAATTAGTTAAAATATCACTTTAAATCTAGTCTCCATTGATAAAATACATTGTTTATTGATTGAATCATAATACTTTAATCCTTCTGTTTTTAAAATAATAAAGACGTGAATTTGTTTTCTCTATCATACTGCTAGTTTCATTTGTAACTTTTAACTCTTTTAATCCCCCAGGGAAAGTTTCAGATATTAGCCATAAAATGTAGCTGTATTATGTCCGTATGACGCTAGCGAAGCACATTCGCTGAACTTTTGTGATTATTTCACTGCCCGCAATTTAAAGGCAATTTAAAATCTTACAGAGCAGTCATAAAAAGGCATATATTAATGGACTTTAAAGTTACCCTATTTGATTTGAATTATGGATGCAATATTCAGGCGAATTGATCAACTTTCAAAATCAGCTTTGACCTTAGTGCACTGGATGCAATCAGCGTATAGCTCAAATTATTTATTTTCTAAATTTGCCTGGAAGCGATGAATTTTACACCACTGATGGTATTTTGTGTCATAATCCATCACTAATGGTCTGTGTTATATTCCACCAATTGTGGTCTGTGTATCCCAGTCCGCCACTAATGGTCCGTGTGTCCGAGTCTACCACTGATGGTCTGTGTGTCCCAGTCCATCAGTGATGGCCTGTAGCCCATTCCACGATTGATGACATGGGTTGACCAGTCCACCACTGATGGCCTGTGTGGACCAGTACACCACTGATGGTATATGACCCAGTCCACCACTGATTGTCTGTGTGTCCCAGTGCACCACTGATTGTCTGTGTGTCCCAGCCCACCACTGATGGTATGTTGCCCAGTTAATCTCTAAAGGTCTGTGACATAGTTCACTACTGATGGTCTGTTGCACAGTCCACCACTGATGGTCTGTGACCCCATTCCACCACTGATGGTCTGTGTGTCCCAGTCCACCACCGATGGTCTGTGTGTCCCAATCCACCACTTATGGTTTGTGATCTAGTTCACCAGTGATGGTCTGTGGCCCATTCTGTGGCCTAGTCAATGACCGATGGCCTGTAACCCAGTCCACGACTGATGGTCTGTAGCCCTGTCAGTGGCCCAGTCCACCACAGATAGATATCATTATCCTACAGTCCGCAATCACCACACCAAGTCCATTAATAACCCTAGGCTCTATCGCGTCAACGAACAATTGTTGACGGACGACGGACGGGAAGGCTCGATGACGTTATACACGTGGGTGCGTATACAATATACTTACCATTTTACAATTCTACTGCGTCTCCAGACGCATTTTGTCAATTTCGGGATTCCCGAGGAAGGTCGGTACTGATGACTTGAACTTTAATGAATCGGTAGATGGATATTTGAATTTAAATATGTTTCACATGAGCAAAATCTTTTCCACAAATAAAACTAATTGATCTGAAACCTCTTATGATCAGAACAGATATTAAAATTATAGACTCAAATTACATAATAATTGTACAATAATATAAATACAAAAGTACTAAGCTATTTATATTTCTAATCTGAGACGTTATTACGAATAAAATACAAATGAAGAGACCAGGAGAAGAACGCTCTAAGTCACATTTTTGTCTTTTTGCATAAAAGGCAAACCAGACTTTTGGGCGAGAATGCTTGAAGCGAACAGAACAGCGAGTGGGTGTAATTACAACTTCAAAATGATGTTTAATACGAATCATAATTACGAGTACAACAACTGACTTCCACTTTTCAGCCAAATTAAGGTTAAATAAAGGGTACAATGGACGTATTTGTCCGGGAGGCCATTTCAGAAGGGTCTTGGTTCGATGTGACTCTGATCATTTTTACCTGAAATTGATTGTTCCACAGAAAGCGTATACAATTTGGTACCCGATGGCGCCATTAACTGCGGTTCATTGAAAAAGTGACTTAGATCGTTCTTTCCCGGGGCTTTTCATATTGTATCAACCATTGCTTCTTCAAATGGATTCTAGGCGCGTGTAATTCTTTCTTCGTCATTCATTGTTTACGTTATACCAGTTTAACGTCCTACTGTTCTGCACTGACTGGGCTAATCACGCCTAGCGTACGCTATGCATTGTCGTATAGGCAAAATTTTGAAATTATCGCTGTTAAAGGGCGTGTGGCTCTATTCCTTGGAACCACAAATGGGTCTAAAAGCACATATTATTGTAATATGGGTTTATACAGAGTGATTTATTGTAATTTCTAATTAATTTTGTTTGGTGAAATGAGCGAGCAGTCCAAATTGAACGACAATAGTTTATGCCTACGGGTTTTTTTATTACTATTTTATCATTTGCGAATCAGCAATTACAATTTACTTACTCCCACATTGTAATAGAGGATATGTTTTTCTTTGTTCATTAAGTTTGCGCCCCAAACGAAAGAGTACACGACTCGTGTACGGATTTTAAAATGTTCATTGTGTCTTAAATATTGGATATTAGGATAGGATCCCACATTTTCACGGCAACATAACAACATCAATATGGACTGATATTGAATTCTAATTTGTGATTTTAATTTCGAATATTATGGAACATATTGAGTTAGAGGTTTAGCTCCTTTAACTTTGTTTTTGGTGCATGTGCTGCACTACTTAATCTATTTAATTCTTCCGTTTCTGAATAGTGGGCTTTATACTTTAGTTTTTGGAGGTGGGGGGGGGGGGGGTATACATCAAGTAGTTGGCCCCGGGCATCACCAAACCCCTACACTTAGTAAAATGCAGTAATTAAAGCTCAGTACAGTTACTTTTTCCAGAAAAAACAGATTAATAACAATGATTGGTTCTTACAAGAGCTGCATCCCTATTCTTAGACACGGATGGGTCGCAACGCATATAATAAAATAATTTAATATGAATGTATATAATCTGATCTATATTCAACTCTTTCTCTTTTTACTGTAATTTCTAATCAGTTATGTTTCGCGAAATAACAGTCTGTTGTGTCTGTTTTTTTCCAGTCTACATTGGTAGTATTCTCCTGTGGGTTATGTTTAGCCTCGTTCATCGAGTCGCTTCATTACAAATGGCGATCGAATACCAATTTTAAAATGTTAATTTTGTCTTAAATATTGGATAACAGAAGCCCAGTTTTTTCACGGTAAGCTAACAAAATCAATGTTGTTTTAAATTGACAGATACGTCTTGTTTGCAATGTCGAAGACTGTGGATGATATTGAGTTAATGACTGGCCTCCTTTAAACAGAATGCAAATCGATTTTCAAAGGAACTCACAAACTTGTTCAGTCAAATATGTAATTAAGGTCTTATTTCCTTGTATGTTTTCCATTTAATGTCCTTATTTTCAGCATCAATTGGGTCAGGTTTCAGGCTAGTAATCCTTTCCCAGTTAACTTCAATGTATAATTTTTAAAAAAATTCGATTATCTTTATCTTTACAACCACAAATTTCCCAACATAATCCTGAATGGTGTTGACCATACCCGACCAGGGATATCTATAACGTCATTTTTGTACTTGATTTACCTAATTAATGTGCGTTTACGTCGGGGTCATTCCGTTTCAATATTATGCCAATTCACTAAAACCTACCAGAAATGAAAATTCAAACCCTCTTCGTCTAATTCTAGAGCAAAAAGTCAACATGTAAAAGGCGAGGGGTCGCAAACAGGGAATTGCTACATGTTGAAGTACTACATGAAATGAAGAGCATGAGTTACTTGTCTTCGTCCAGATTACCAGACTTATCTCCCTTACATATTACTTTAGAATGGCTTGCTGTAGCGATCGGTTTGATTAATTAATTTCAGCGACAAATAATTATATATTTTACAAGCAGACCACACCACCACGAGCTAATCAGTGTTACTTACTATGCAATATTTTGCACTAATATTCGAACATGCATTAGCATGTTCCAATCAAATTTTAGTTTTTGAGCAATTGTTTTGAAACTTCGCAGAAATCAACGCCCAAATATTAGAATTTCAAAACCGTTTACATTTTTAGAATCGGACATATATTTTTGGTCCAAAATGTGGTAATTTGATTCCAGTGCAATGTAAAAAAAATGTTTTTCAACGAATTTGGTAGAATAACAGTTTGGTTACTCCTTGTAAAATTCACAATCATTTAGATAACAAATAAGATCCCCTTTTTGCAGGAAAAGTGGTTATCAATGAACAGGGTTAGGCTTAATTTGACGATAGTTTGTTATTTCTCCTTTTAAACATTTGCTCCCATCACGCCAATCCTAAAATATGCATTTCAAGCGGGGGAGGGGGTTAGAAAGATATATGGAGAAAGAGAAAGAAGGATGTGGAGAGAGGGTTTTAACTTCACTTAACACAGAGGTCATTTTGGGACTAACATACGCCGCCATTTTAATTCAATAATTTGCTGTCAGTAAAGGACTTTAGCAGTGGGGATGCCGCAAAGAAAACCCATGAGGTTGGACAGTTGACCCTATTCTTTAGAAACTAAATTTAAACACATAATACTTTTAATATGATTATTTCAAAGTTGAAATTGAAATTGAAAAAAAAGAACGAAAATGTACATTTATGAAACATGAAATTGTACGAAAGTAAAATTTGTTCCTAATGCATCTGATTTGTTATACCAGCACTTGAAAATAAATATAACATAGTAAAATTACAAGGCCTTTAAGGTTTCATCCTAAATAAATAAATAGATTTTGGTTATTTATATAAAATAATAACCATATATGGTATTATATAATAATATTTGGAAGGTTTCAAACAATAATCGTTTTTTGCTAGCTGATTCCTTTCGTTTATCAACTAGTAGGGGTAACAATTTTTGATCCGACCATGGTTCTTATAATAATATAAGCTCCATGATCTGACAGATAGTCTGGTCACTGAGCTCATGAGGCCTCTGCTTCAGAGTCCATCATAAACAGTTTGCATAGAAAAAATAAATAAAATGAAATAAACAAAACAAACCAGCGCTAAGGATTAGTTTTCATACCCACCTAATCTGAACTTATAGACCTCGTAAAAAAAATATAGGCTACATGTACTTCTGTTCTGATACTACTACTAGTGATACAAACATCTTTACAATTCATATGACATTGTCAGTGATAATAAATTGCCCTAACCTTTCACTTTAGTTTCTATGTGAATTATCTTTGTTGATACAATATA